CTCCTTCCCCTTCCCCACAACAGACACCCTGTGAGGTAGGCGGGGCTGAGAGAGCTCTGACAGAAACTGCCCTTGAGAGAACAGCTCTGAGAGAACTTGTGACTGCCCCAAGGCCACACCAGCAGCTGCATGTGGAGGAGTGGGGAATCAAACCCAGTTCTCCCAGATGAGAGTCCGCGCACTTAACCACTACACCTAACTGGCCCGACACCAAAGTCAGGTTGCCTGGTCCCTCGAAGATGTTTGCAGGGGGATGGGGGGACATTCCGGGAGGCAGAAGCGTCCTCGGGCGATGTCCCCACGTCACTGGAAGTGATGTCACGCAACATGTCCGTGTCACCCAGAAGTGACGTAGGCACGTTGGTGACATTGGGGGGGGGGGACACTCTACACTCTAGTTTTTGGGTAAACTCTATGGTAAAATCAGCCTCCAACCATAGAGTTTTGCCCAAAACCCAGAGCATCACCCCCCTGACATCAGCGATGTGCCTGACATCACTTTTGGATGACACGGCACGTTGCATTTATTTCTGGCGATGCTGATCTTGGGGGGGCCAGCTGGCCAGTGGTGGGCAAGTGCCCGTTTTATAATGTTTTATGTGGATTTTATGGTACTCTCTACCGACTGATGTAAGCCGCCCTGAGTCTGTTCGCGGGGAGGGCGGGATACAAATGGAATGAATGAATGAATGAATGAATGAATGAATGAAAGCGAGGGATCCCCTGCCCCCAAGTGTGGAACGACAACCTTACTTGTAAGGGAAGGGGTAGGTGGAGTGTGGGGAACTTTCTGCCAGGTTCCAGATTTATTATTAATCCTATTAAATCTAATAAATCTCCGAGGTTCTTTAATGCTATAAATTATTCTAGGAAATATATTTTTTTAAAAAATCCCAAATCAATCTCTACATTACCCACGAAATCGACGCCAGCCACCCTTTTAAGAAACCCTCATAAATAAAAAGGCAAATTCATCCCTTCGGCTTTTCCTGGTAACCCTCCGGTGGTGGTGGTGGGGGGATTACATTAGTCTGGCTATTTCTTAAATCTAATCATTGGGTTTTTTTGTTTCAATTGGAACAATCTTGCTTAGCTATAAATATCTTCACTAAGGCCCATAACTTGTATCGGTGTGTTAAATAATAAGCACTTACCATGTAACACGATTCTCTTGCTAGGGACTCATATCCATAATTGACAGTGTAATCCAGCGTCCTGTCTCACAGTAGCCAACCAGTTCCTCTGGATGGCCAACAACAGGGCTTAGAGCAGTGGTGGCGAACCTGTGGCACGGGTGCCAGAGGTGGCACTCAGAGCCCTCTCAGTGGGCACGCGTGCCATCGCCCCAGCCAGGCCCAGACCACCATCAAAGTGTCGAATTCTCTGCCAAATAATTTTAAGTAAATGAAAGCATTTGGGGTCGCTTTCCTTACTTTGTTTGGATCATCTTAAGTTAACGTATGAGTTGTTTTTTCTAAAGTAAAACCTCAGTATTCAGGTTAAATTGCCGTGTTTGCACTTTGCGATAAATAAGTGGGTTTTGGGTCACAGTTTGGGCCCTCGGTCTCTAAAAGGTTCGCCATCACTGGCTTAGAGGCTGAGGCCTTCCCCTCATGTTGCCTCCTGGCTCTGGGACTTAGAGGTTTAGTGCCTCTGAATGCGGAGATTCCGCTCAGCCACCATGGCTAGTCGCCACTGAGAGACTTACCCTCCATGAATCTATCCAATCCCCTTTTAAAGCTGTTTATTCCTGTGGCCTCCATGACATCCCCTGGCAGCGATTTCCACATTTCAATCACTCTCGGTGTAAAGTAGTATTTCCCTTTGCCTGTCCTGAACCTACTGCCCACCAGCTTCACTGGATGCCCTTCAGTTCTAGTATTTTGGGAGAGGGAGAAAAACTTATCTCCGTCAACTGTCTCCACTCCATGCATGGTTTTATGAACCTCGATCATGTCCGCCTTTAGTCGTCTCCTTTCTAAACTGAAAAGTCCCAGACGCTTTAGCCTTTCCTCATAGGGAAGGGGCTCCAATCCCTACGTCATCTTGGTTGCCCTCTGTTGTACTTTTTCCAGCTCTGCAGTGTCCTTTTGGAGATACGGGGACCAGAACAGTATTCAGCGCTCCAAATGAGGCCGCCCCATAGACCCTCACCTACTCTCGTCTGAAACACTTAACCCGCTCAGAAGAATCTAAAAACCTGGTCACGGAAACTGATATTTTCCGGTGTAACCTCGCTGTTCCCCCGAACTTCTCATCTGCCCCCCCCTATTTCCTTTTTAACGTTATTCCTTAACGTATTTTTATGTTATTCCTCCTTGCAAATGTTTTGCAGTACCACCCCCCCATTTGCTTCACCATTAACTCGTGTTAAAGCCCCCGTTTCCCCTCGATTTATTTAAGTGCACCCATAATCACGAAACCATAAATATTCTTAACTGGCAATCTCTGCCGCTCTTTAAAATTCATATAAGTTACAAAGCCGTCCATTGATCACGAGGCAATTTGTTGATTGAAAAACGGCACATTAATCACGAGGCACTTCATTAATCACGAGGCAATTTAATGATCCCCCGAGTCAGTAAATTGTTGGCTGTATCAAACGATCCACCAATGAACCACAGGGGGGGGGGGGAAATTAAAGAACCGAACTTCACCGAAAGGCCAATTTAAGTGCAATACGGGATCCACGGACTTCTCATTTGAATCGTTTTTACATTAAGGTAGGCTCGAAGGGTTCCAAATTTGACCAGTGGTGCTTGAGGGAGCATTCTCAACGGTGCACCAAATGGGTCCGTTTCTTCCTAGATTTTGGACCCAGACAGGAGCTTGCTAAACAGTCATTTGTCCAAAATGTGGCGGGGAGGGGGGGGGAAGCTAACACACATTCGCCTTCCCAGAACTGCCGAAGCAGCTCCGACTGACTTAAAGGTATCCCTCAGCCTTTGCCCTGGTAACTACAATCTTGTAGCACAATCAGTACTATGTCTTTTAAATGGCAGATGTCTCCAGGACAAAGGGGGGGGGGGCGGTAGGGCAGCAGGTGGGGTGAACATGCATTACTGATGACATAACACAAAATGGCAGTGTGATGTGGGGGGGGGAATGGAGTACGGTGGAATTCCTCCCTCAAAAACTGCGAGTTAAGATCCGAAGGGGGGGGGAAGACCACTGAAAAAGCGGATTCGGAAAACGCAGGGTAAGGGGGCACAACATTCGGATCGACTCCCGGGGAGGGGCAAAATTTTGTGTGGACACTTTTGCATACGTTGATTATTTAAGAACGCCAACGTGGGGGGTTTGCTCTTTTGCAGAAATGGTACCCCACGTCTATCGTTTCCCCGAATATCTAAAATTGAATTGTTCCGGGGGGCCTTTTCATAAAGGGAACAGATGTGTGGGAAACCGGAATCCTAACAGTATGTCACTTTCTCTAAGGTAAAAAGGTAAAGGTTCCCTTGCTCGAAAGCCAGTCGAGTCCGACTCTAGGGTTGCGGTGCTCATCTCCGTTTCCAAGCCGAAGAGCCAGCGCTGCCCGAAGACGTTTCCGTGGTCATGTGGCCGGCATGACTAAACACCAAGGCGCACAGAACGCTGTTACCTTCCCACCAAAGTGGTACCTATTTATCTACTTGCAATTTCTTAAAGTCAGAGCTAAATAACCAGCGAAGGTTACAAAGCAGTGTTCCCTCTGAGCAGAGTTCAGTGTGAGCTTAGCTCACAGTTTTTTAGCCTCCGGCTCACACATTCTTGCCTTAGCTCAGGAAGGGTGGCTCCACGGAGCAAACCGATTTATGCAGTAGTAGCCAAATCGCGCGCTCGCAACTTAAATGCCAGGGGCTCACAAAGTAGAATTTTTGCTCACAGGACTCCACAGCTTAGAGGGAGCATTGGCTGGGAGGTCTTCCACCCAAGCAGTGTTCCCTCTAAGCTGAGTTAGTGTGAGCCAACTCAGTTTTTTAGCCTCCGGCTCACACATTCTTGCCTTAGCTCAGGAAGGGTGGCTCCACGGAGCAAACCGATTTATGCAGTAGTAGCCAAATCGCGCGCTCGCAACTTAAATGCCAGGGGCTCACAAAGTAGAATTTTTGCTCACAGGACTCCACAGCTTAGAGAGAGCATTGGTTATAAGGCCAACAGCTGTAAAGCAATACACATGCCAGAATAGCAGATAAATGTCTAAAGGTGTCTTTTCTAATTGTGGGAAGCAAACCGAGAATCTCCGTTCTCTCCTCCCAGGCGTGGAGAATGCTTAACAGCACTTCTTGAGGCGGATGCAGGGTCAGGTCGGCAAAACATCCCACTATCCCTTTCTCTTTCTTTATAAAATTTACACATCGCCTCTCCAAAGACCTCCTTGTGCATTTATCTCATGCATTTCAGCCACAGATAGGGCTGCCAAACCGCGGCGGGGGATCTGAGTGTCGTCACAGGATCCCTGCCGCGGGGGGACAGTGATACTCATTGCACTGCCGTCGCCAGGATGTGACGCTATGCATCGCTCTGGCAACGGGACTCCAAACAGCCCCGTTGCCAGAGTGACACGTAGCGTCACATCCTGGCGACGGCCATGCAACGAGTATCGCTGTCCCCCCGCGGCAGGGATCCTGTGACGACGCTCAGATCCCCCGCCGCGGTTTGGCAGCCCTAGCCACAGATCTGGGTCCTCGTTTCTCTGGCGTCCCCCCTGTGCTTGTATCCGGTCCCCTGTCTCATCCCCCCCAATACATCCCTTAGACGCTCCCCTTCAATCTGTACTCTCTGTCTACATCAGCACCAATGAAGTGGGGCTGGAAATGCCACACAGCAACTCCCGCGGGGCCCCTACTCTCCTGTTGACACTCCTGGGAGAGCGAGATGGTTGGCTGATCCCACGGTTTCCAGGCTCCGGTGGCCGCTGGGCTTTCCCTCCGCGGCCTCCCCTGAACTAGCCCTACGTACGGCTTCGAAATGTACGCACCTGGCGAAGAACCCGGGGCGAATCCAAGGTTGCCGCTTACCTTCGTGATTCAGTTTACAGTGCAGCGTCACGGGCCCGCTGCATCGCTGAATGATCCAGTGAACCTCTTCCTTTGTACAGGTATCCAAGGGAACGCTCGTATTCTCCCCTCTGATGCAGCCCTCCATCTAGATACAAGCGAGAGGCACCATTGTCTCCTCCGAGTCAATTATTCCATTTGTTTACGAGGCGCGCGCTAGAGATTCTTGCGGACAAACAAGCCGCCTGACTCTTTTCCCAGCAGGGTTAATGTTACATCAACTCCCCTGACCCTTCTTGCCTCTCCCGTTCCCACTCTCTTACTATTAAGAAATCCAGTGATGGATGGATTGATAACTCTCTGGGTGTGTTCAGAGGGGGCATTTATTCCGGTATAAACCGCTGCGGTTCCAACCGGTGCAATTTGATCCGGAAGAAACGCGATCACACTCACCTCCTGCCTGCGCAGCATATCACAATATGCCCGTTCACACTACCGACGCGCAGAAGCACACGTCAGCGGGTTTTTAATTTTTTTAAAACATTTCGCACATGCGCATAGGCAGCCATCCGGAGAGTTGAGATCTTCGCGCAGGCGCAGAACACCCCGTCCCGAAAAGCGTGCCCTGAAGCGAAGACTTCCCTTTAAACTTTTACAGCGAAAAGGGCCTCTGTGAGGTCCCGGACTCGTCCACAGCCTAAAACTAAGCATCTTTTTTTAAAAAACAAACAAACAAACATTGGGACAAAGCTTCGCCCAAGCGCACATCGAGGAGGGTTAAAAAAAATGGCGACCGAAAAGCGGAAGCCCCGGGCTTCCGAATGGAAGTGGCTAGACACCGGCGGAGAGCGATCAGATGGGGATAATGCGGATGGAACCGGTGCACTCAGGGTACCACCACTTGGGGACCTAGTGGCAGAATACAACGGTTAAAGGCTGTTTGCAATGGTTAGGAACGGAAGGCAGATGTTCGCCGTGTGATCGCCTGTAAGTACACCGATTCCAACCGGCATCTATACCGGCATAAATGCACCCTCTGTTTGAGTATGTGTGTCTGTCCTGCCTTAAGACAGTTTCAGAGGATACCCATGTCTGCCTGCAGTAGAACGGCTAGATTTGAGTCCAGTAAGACCTTCAAGGTAAAGGTAAAGGTTCCTCCTTGCTCGAAAGCCAGTCGAGTCCAACTCTAGGGTTGCGGTGCTCATCTCCGTTTCAAAGCCGAAGGGCCAGCGCTGTCCGAAGACGTTTCCGTGGTCATGTGGCCGGCATGACTAAACACCGAGGCGCACGGAACGCTGTTCCCTTCCCACCGAAGTGGCACCTATTTATCTACTTGCAATTCCTTGCTTTCGAACTGCTAGGTTGGCAGGAGCTGGAACTAGAGACGGGATCATGCAGCACCCGGGTCTGGAACTGCTGAACTACCGACCTTCCACAGCCTGCAGTTCAGCGTCTTAACCACTTGAGCCACCTCAGCTCCTAAGGTAAGACCTTAGAGGCCCACAAAATTTCAATTTGAGTCTAGTAACGCATTCAGGCTTGTAGCCATTGGGGGGCATTTGGGGGCAATGCCCCCCACAGTTGAGTGCCGCCCCCTCAGATAAAAATTCCCAAAAACTTTTTGGAAAATTAAAAAGCTGTAAGATGCACGTGGGGTTTCTAAAGTGACCCTGGGCACAGTCAGGGAAGACTCAGTTTCTTTTTTCCGGGCCGAAAAAAATAAATAGGTTTTTAAAAATGCAAAAAAATTTTTTTGAATAAAATAAAATTGCAAAAAATAAAACAAAACGGCAAACCGCATAAGAGAGAGAGCGAGAGCTGGAGATCCCCCCCTTCCCCGGCTTATGCAGAAAAGCAGCCCGGAATCGAGTCTCTCCAATCGAGAGGACTAGAGGAGGACTAGAGGTTGCAGCGGAGCCGAAGCGGTTTCTGCTGCTGCTGCAAGAGGAGCAGAAGGCACAGCTGGGGTGCCGCCCCCCCCGATTTCTCCACGCCCCACCAACCAAAATTTTCGGGCTTCGCCTCTGGGCACATTAGAGATCCACAAGATTTTCAGGGTACAAGATTTTGAGAGCAAAGATTCCTTGGTCTGATGCGCATACCTCAACAATATTGTGGGTTTCCAAAGTGCTAGCAGACTCGAATCTATCTGTCTTAAGTCACCTGCAGTAAGGTTGAAGAAGTGCAAACCTTAGGGAAATGAGGACTCTTTTTCGAGGCCCGCTTCTCTGTCTGCTGTCATGGTTGTGTTGGAGCACCCAGGAGACCCAGGTTCAAATCCCTGCTCAGCCATGAACCTTAGTAGGGACCTTGGGGCAATTTCTCTCTCTCTCTGCATACTTGCAAGCAGGGCTATTTTTGGGCAGGAACGCACAGGAACGGAGTTCCGGCTGGCTCCCAAGTTGGCCACGCCCAGCAGGAACTCATTAGCATAATAGGCCACACCCAACTGCAGGAACTCATTCGATTGGCTACATATGGGGTGTGTGGCCTAACATGCAAATGAGTTCCTGCTACAAAAAAGCCCTGGGTTTGGACAATAAACAAGGTAAACAGAAAAAGAAGCAAAAGGTGGGTGTGGCTGGATTAGCACACTTCTGGTAACATGGGGGTGTGGCCTAATATGCCAATGAGCTGTGCTGTCAGGGCTGTGGCCTAACAGGCGAATGAGTTTCTGCTGTTGGGTGTGGCCTATTATGCTAATGAGTTCCTGCTGGGCTTTTTCTACCAAAAAAGCCCTGCTTGCAAGGAAGGAAAGACTACCCTCCAAGGAACAAAAAGATCTGCTCTCACCACGCTGGGTGGCTCAGTCTTCATTGGCAGGAATCCCATTAGTGTGTATGTGTGTGGGGAGGGGTGCAACATGTATTTCTCCACAGACCATCAGTCGACCCACCAGGCACCTTAGCAGTATACAGGCCCTCTAGCCACTTGCTCAGCCCAACTGTCCCAACAACACCTCTCTTGTTACTAAGCAGTGAGGACTGCTAATGGTTGTGTGAACAGAGCTACCATGAGAGGCAACGCAACACACCAGCAGCAATTAGATTCAAGCAGTAAGGGTCTTTGACTACAGCAACACACCAGCAGCAATTAGATGCAAGCAGTAAGGGTCTTTGACTACAGCAACACACCAGCAGCAATTAGATGCAAGCAGTAAGGGTCTTTGACTACAGCAACACACCGGCAGCAATTAGATGCAAGCAGTAAGGGTCTTTGACTAAAGCAACACACCAGCAGCAATTAGATGGAGAAGAAGAAGAGGAGGAGGAGGAGGAGGAGGAGGAGGAGGAGTTCGGATTTATATCCCGCCCTTCACTTAAGAGTCTCAGAGCGGCTTACCATCTCCTTTCCCTTCCCCTCCCCACAACAGACACCCTGTGAGGCGGGTAGGGCCGAGAGAGCGCTTGCGAGGACTGCTCGTGAGAGAACAGCTCTGGGAGCACTTGTGACTGACCCAAGGTCACACCAGCAGCTGCGTGTGGAGGAGTGGGGAATCAAACCGGGTTCTCCCGGATTAGAATCCACGCTCTTAACCACTACACCAACAGGCATCTTTGACAACAGCAACAGATGGAAAAACAGCAGGCAGCGCATGATGCGTTCAGAAGAAGGAAAGGTGAGGGGGTTGACGGTACCAATGCGCAACCCGACCGTCTCTTAAAGCCGAGGTCTCACCAAAAGCAGCTGGTGCCCCTCCCGGAGGCCCGCTTTCTCCGCCGAGGATCCCAGTTTGACAGAGTTGACGAAGCTGCCTTTCATGTTGCCCCCCAGGACGGACATCTCCGAACTCAGGCTGTCCCCGTTCAGAATGATGCGCTGGACGGCGTGGCACGTGTTCCGGAGGCGGCCGAAGTTCGTCACCGAGGGGCGGAACGGCCTGCGTCAAGGGGAGGGAGCACAAGGCTTAGAAAGAAGGGCGTTCTCCTGAGTTTGCCCGAAGTCCCTCCTGCATTTTAAAACAGGACTGCAGCAGGCCGGGAGAAGAGGAGGAGGAATGCAGAGAACAACTTTAGTTTGAAGTTGGGCTTGGACTCTCTGAGGGCGATTCTGCATCGGCTTTTCCCTCCGTCGTTTTACGAAACCTGCGCTGGAACAGAAATTCCCCTCCGCGTCGCATGCTGCTTTCGCTTCCTTCGATCTCTGGGTTTTATGGAACCTCCTGCATAGAATTATGGCCGTTCGGGGATGACTTTGCAGTCAGTACGGGCGTTGCCCCGTGGTATTTGAATGTGGTTTTGAGCTGCACTTTTCCCTCCCAGTTGAGAAAATGTGGAGCGAACGCTAGATGCAGAATCGCCCAAAGGCTGCAGTCACAGACACGAAATAATTCACTTTCAATCCACTTTCAATGCACTTTTCAAGGATTTTACTGTGTGAACTGGCAAAATCCGGAAGAAGAAGAAGAAGAGAAGAAGAGATTGGATTTATACCCCACCCTTCACTACCCGAAGGAGTCTCAGAGCGGCTTACAAACTCCTTTCCCTTCCCCTCCCCACAGCAGACACCCTGGGAGCAATTTGGTGTACACCAGTTTGGCGTAGTGGTTACGTGCGCGGACTCTAATCTGGGAGAACCGGGTTTGATTCCCCACTCCTCCACTTGCACCTGGCTGGATGACCTTAGGCAAGCCGTAGTTCTGATAAGAGCTGTTCTTGGAAAAGAGCAGTTTCTGTCAGAGCTCTCTCAGCTCCCCCTACCTCACAGGGTGTCTGTTGTGGGGAGGGGAAGGGAAAGGAGTTTGTAAGCCGCTCTGAGACACCTTTGGGTAGTGAAGGGCGGGCTATAAATCCAATCTTCTTCTTCTAAACTGTGGAGTCTTGTGAGCAAAAATCCTACTTTGTGAGCTACTCGCATTAAAGCTGTGAGCGAGCGATTTGGCTGCTGCATAAATTAGTTTCCTCTGGAGCCCTCCTTCCTGAGCGAAGACAAAAATCTGTGAGCTGGAGGTTAAAAAACGGTGAGCTAGCTCACACTAACTCAGCTTAGAGGGAACACTGCTTGTGAGGTAGGCGGGGCTGAGAGAGCTCTGACAGAAACTGCCCTTTTTCAAGAGCAGCTGTGCCAGAACTATGGCTTGCCCAAGGTCATCCGGCAGCTGCAAGTGGAGGAGTGGGGAATCAAACCCGGTTCTCCCAGACTAGAGTCTGCGCATTTAACCACTACACCAAACTGGCTCCAGTTGGAAAGTGCACTGAAAGTAGACTGAAAGTGGATTATTTAATATGTGTGACTGCAGCTGAAGTCTGCATAGGACAGCACTATTACTTGGGTATTGGAGGGTAACCCTAATAAATCTGCCTGGAAGTCGAATCTGTTGGCACCTTTCTTGGTGCCTGTCGAGGTTTTTTAGAAAGTGGGCGGGGCCAGATGGGGCTTATGCCCAGCAAAGCCTCTGATTGGCTGTCGGAGACTTGATTGGCTGTTCAGATTTTTAAAAGCACTGCCTTGGAAGCAGCTGCAACCATGTCAGAAGGCTCTTCGCTGTTTGACTGAGGGTAACACGCGGCAGCCATTTTGTGACTGGCTCCGCCTCCCGCGGCAACCATTTTGTGCCTGCCCCCAGAATTCCAAAGGCGCCCGCCTGCCCAAAAAGGTTTTGGACCCCTGCCGTAAAGTGTTCTCGTGCCCCTAAAAGGCTGTGCCCTCCATTACAGCCAGTCTGCCTGAATGGCAGGAACTCGTAATGTAGATTTTCCAGGACTGTATTACCTCAGGCTGTTAGATGAAGACTGGATGTTTGAATTCCCCCCCCCCAACAAAAAATCACAGAAAACTAGCAAGACCTGGAGAAAACGACACAGAACCCTTCTCCCTAATCTTCTGGCTTTCCAAATTCGTGTAGATTTTTATAGAGAAAGCTTTCATACTTGGTACCCCACATTATCTGCCTGAGGTGGTCCAATCGGAGGCAAGGCCGACCACCTGATCCTGCCAATCGTATGGCCAGGTCCCAAGTTCAAACAACCCAGCCAGCGCCCCCCCCCCCATAAAATACCTCTCCAGGGAGAATTTCCTGAAAATGGAGTTGACTTGCTCCAGATCTAGTCCCTCCGACTGGTGGGACGACGTGGAAGACGGCAGCGAGGCGGGTCCGTACGAGTACCTGTCATGAAAGTCATCTGGAAAAAGAGTCACAGAAGAGAGGATAAATATATTTTTTGTCCTCTACAAGGCTTCACAGTAGAAAGCGCCAAAGTGAGAGAAAAACAAAAATCGCTCACAATATCAGTGTATTGGATTGATCCAGGTGGGCGGCCATGTTGGTCTGAAGCAATAACACAAAGTCTGGTCCTTTCCGCACTTGGATCTCATCCCTGGTTTTATCAGAGTTCAACTCGTGACACAACACCTTGCATTTATCCCTGGTTATAACAGCATCCATTTCTCCCAGGACAAGTGTGGGGCAAAACCAGGGTGACCTCAATGTAATGTGGAAACAAAAAATACCCCGAGATAATTACAGGGGCGAACTCGAGTGTAGTGTAGAATGTAAAAATACCCCAGGATAATTACAGGGGTGAACTCGAGTGTACTGGAGAACGTAAAAATACCCCGTTATTACAGGGGTGAACTCGAGTGTAGTGCAGAATGTAAAAATACCCCAGGATAATTACAGGGGTGAACTCGAGTGTACTGGAGAACGTAAAAATACCCCGTTATTACAGGGGTGAACTCGAGTGTAGTGCAGAAGTAAAAATGCCCCAGGATAATTACAGGGGTGAACTTGAGTGTACTGTAGAATGTAAAAATACCCTAGGATAATTACATGGGTGAACTCGAGTGTAGTGCAGAAGTAAAAATGCCCCAGGATAATTACAGGGGTGAACTTGAGTGTACTGTAGAATGTAAAAATACCCTAGGATAATTACATGGGTGAACTCGAGTGTAGTGCAGAAGTAAAAATGCCCCAGGATAATTACAGGGGTGAACTCGAGTGTAGTGCAGAATGTAAAAATACCCCGATATTACAGGGGTGAACTCGAGTGTAGTGCAGAATGTAAAAATACCCCAGGATAATTACAGGGGCGAACTCGAGTGCAGTGCAGAATGTAAAAATACCCCGATATTACAGGGGTGAACTCGAGTGTAGTGTAGAATGTAAAAATACCCCGAGATAATTACAGGGGCGAACTCGAGTGTAGTGCAGAATGTAAAAATACCCCAGGATAATTACAGGGGCGAATTCGAGTGTAGTGCAGAATGTAAAAATACCCCAGGATAATTACAGGGGTGAACTCGAGTGTAGTGCAGAATGTAAAAATACCCCGATATTACAGGGGTGAACTCGAGTGTAGTGCAGAATGTAAAAATACCCCAGGATAATTACAGGGGTGAACTCGAGTGTAGTGTAGAATGTAAAAATACCCTAGGATAATTACATGGGTGAACTCGAGTGTAGTGCAGAAGTAAAAATGCCCCAGGATAATTACAGGGGTGAACTTGAGTGTACTGTAGAATGTAAAAATACCCCGAGATAATTACAGGGGTGAACTCACATGTAGTGCAGAATGTAAGTTCGGGGACAGGGTGGAACCAGGATTTAAGGTCTAGTGCGGAAAGTGCAGTGGCACCTTTAAGACCAACAAAGTTTTATTCCAGGTATGAGCTTTCTTGTGCGTGCGTGTTGGTCTTAAAGGTGCCACTGGACTCTAACTTTGTTCTAGACCTTTCTGCACTCTCCTTTTAATCCATATTCACCACAGTGCCCTCCAAGCAATTCTGCACTAAAATCCAATTCAACCTTCTTTTTAATTCAGGGTCCCCCCCCATTCTGCACTAAAATCGAGTTAAATCTTTTTATTCCGTCTCCCCCCCCCCATTCTGCATTACATTCCCTCCTTTCAGTGGTCAGCCCGGTTTCAGCCTGCCGTTGCCACAGGTTATTTGGATGCTGTATTGCCCTGGACTTTTAAATTGCCTCGACTTGCACTGAGAAAATCTGGAGCGGCAGACAGATGCAGAAAGGAACTTAGTGTATTGGATTACTCCTGGTATTCAGAGGAGGGGAAAGTATTCAGCCTGCTGTCGAGCTATACCGCTCATAAGGCTAGTTTAGTTATTCTGCGAGTCCAGAGCGAGGATCCCCAAACTGGTTGAGCCTGTGGGCACTTTCGGTGTTCTGAGGTAACAGGCACCCCCCGCTGTCGGTCAAGGGGTGCAACCAACCACAAAATGGCTGCCATCGAGGATGCGGCCATTCGTGAAATGTTGGTAGGTTCCAACCCATGCGTCCTCCTAAGATTTCAGAATTTGTGCTTCCTGCTGACCCAAAGACAGAATCATAGAATCGCAGAGCTGGAAGGGGCCTAGAGCATCCCTGACAAGTGTTTATCTAGCCGCTGCTTAAAGACTTCCAGGGAGGGGGAGCTCACCACCTCCCTAGGCAGCTGATTCCACTGTTGCACAACTCTGACTGTCAAAAAGTTATTCCTAAGATCCAGCCAATACCTTCTCGCCCTTAATTTAAACCCGTTAAACCTCCTGGGCTCTTCTAAAGCATTGCCAACTCCAGTGAAACTGCAGAAAGCCGAGACTGGCTCTTCGCTTTAAGGAAGGAGGACGAGGATGCAAGAAATATATCAGTGGGTGCCATGTTGCCGATCCACTAGTCTAGACCAACAGGGCCCAATCCAAACATGCGCCGTCAGAGCACGAGGAGACGAATCTCTGCCCCAAAGAGCTTGCAATCTAAATCGCTCAACATGTCCTACATACATTCTCTCAGCAGCTGTTCCTGCAGCCAATAGGGCCAAATGATCATTTCCATCTTGCTGATGGTGGTGATGCTGAGCTCTGGTCAAGAGACATGCCCATGCAAGGTCATGGCAGGGAGGAGATTCGAACCACGGGCATCGCAGCTATCTTGCACTCTTACTGCAATGCTCTAGCGGCTGTCGAGATCCTGCCTTCCACTACCGACAAACGGGGCTCTTCTTGTAGCAGGTACTCCATTGCATATTAGGCGACACACCCCTAATGTAGCCAATCTTTCAAGAGCTTACAATAGCCCCTGTAAGAAGAGCTCCATAAGCTCTTGGAGGATTGGCTACATTAGGGGTGTGTCGCCTAATAGGCAAAGGAGTCCCCGCTACAAAAAGAGCCCTGCCGGCGACAAGCGTCAGGAAGTGCAGAGAAGACCCAATTCACAAGAGCCCCACAAAGTCAACGTCTCCATTCACTGGATGATGGTGCTCACAGACGCCTTCTCCTCTCCCAGCTCTTACCTTCCAGCTCCGACGCGTCGTAGACGAAACTGTCATTGTCTTCCTCAGTCAGGCTGAAACGAAGGAAAGAAAGTCATTTTCTCTCTCCTCTTCGCATCCTAGTCTTCAGAAGCCGGTAGACGTAGGGTGTCTCGAGGTGTCTCGAGCAAAGGTGTCTCGAGGTGGCGGGTGAAACGGCAGGATGGTGCCAACAGCCCAAGCCACCAGAGTGAGGTGCACGGCTGAAGAAGAACTGCCAACGGGTCAGAGAAGAAGAAGGAGGAGGAGGAGGAGGAGGAGGAGGAAGAGATTGGATTTATACCCTGCCCTTCAGTACCCGAAGGAGTCTCGGAGTGGCTTACAATCTTCTTTCCCTTCCCCTCCCCACAACAGACACCCTGTGAGCAATGTTCCCTCTAAGCTGTGGAGTCTTGTGAGCAAAAATTCTACTTTGTGAGCTACTGGCATTAAAGCTGTGAGAGAGCAATTTGGTTACTGCATAGATTAGTCTGCTCTGGAGCCATCCTTCCTGAGCAAGACAAAAATGTGTGAGCAGGAGGCTAAAGAACTGTGAGCTAGCTCACACTAACTCAGCTTAGAGGGAACACTGCCTGTGAGGTAGGTGGGGCTGAGGGAGCTCTTTTGAGAACTGCTTGTGAGAGGGCGGCTCTGAAGGAACTTGTAACTGACCCAAGGTCACCCATCTGGCTGCATGTGGAGGAGTGGGGAATCAAACCCGCTTCTCCTAGGTTAGAGTCCGCGCTCCTAACCACTACACCGAACTGGCTCCCAAGGGACAGCCAGGGAGAGACACGAAAGGAAGGAGTGGCAGACCAACGGGAGGTTTCCAAAGAAAGAGCCCTGAGGACCTGGAAGAGATGTCAGGAGATTCTCCACAGGAGGTCTCCCTCGGCCGCCCAGAACGAGTTCACGTTCTGCTCTCGTTACTCTTCACTCTGCAGCCTTTCGGTAAGCTGCCCGCAGGAGGCCTAGTCTATTCAGAGGAGCGCTTCCGAGTCCACAATGCCTGTGAAATGTCACAGGGTCACTGGCAACGATACTCCTGTCTAAAGGAAGTAGCTCCGACACCAGAAGAATGGAGGGACCCCGGTCACCTTGTCAAATACCACGGAGAGAAACGTTCTGACAATTTTATACAGTTTCTCCCCGCTGCCCCCGCCCCTAGAGCGTCTTTTGCCGGCACTGCAACTAGAAACTGTACGATGATATCACGGTGGAGGAGAAATAATGCCCAGTTGCCCTTCCCAAGTCACAAAGGGGTCATTTCCTGCAGGAGCGCACAGGAGCGGAGCTCCGACAGTAAAGAGCCCAGGGGGCGGGCACATGCAACAAGCCCCACCCCCTGCTCCCAGCAGCCTTCAGTCAGAGCAAGAAGCAGCCAGGTAAGCTGCAGAGCGACCCCTCCCCCCCGGTCCCCCGGTCCAAAACAGTTCAGTGGCACCTTTAAGACCAAGTTTTATTCAGGTGCAAGCTCTCCCTCCTCTGCTAGGGCAGATCTGCACGTTCCCCCTCCCCCATAGCTAGCAATCCAAAACAGTCCAGTGGAGCCTGAGTGGAGGGTGTTGCCTTCTGACACACTTCCGGTGATGTCAGGGGGTGTGGCATATGCAAATAAGTTATGCTAATGAGTTATGCTAATGAGCTCCTGCACCTCTTTTTCTACGAAATGACCCCTGCATAGGACCAAACTAGATGCTAAGGCCCTTTTTGCTGAAAGAGAGAGACCCAGCCTTGTAGGATGTGGCCGCCATCTCTCAGTCTCTTCCTTCCTGTCCTTCCTGCACCGCTGCAGGCGATGGCAAACCACCTCTGAACATCTCTTCCCTTGAGAACCCCACGGGGTCGCCATAAGTCGCCTGTGACTTGACAGCACTTTCCATCACCACTGAGTCTTGAGCAGCTAATTTGTTGGCAGGACTATTGAGAGCAACTAATTTGTTGGCAGGACTATTGAGAGCAACTAATTTGTTGGCGGGACTATTGAGAGCAACTAATTTGTTGGCGGGACTATTGAGAGCAACTAATTTGTTGGCGGGACTATTGAGAGTTGCCACAGGCACCCAGCCAAAGATTCCTCCCCCTCCCCACACACTACAGATCTCCTCCAACCCAAACATCATATGAAATCACATGGCCTGTCCAGCTTCAAAGGACAACAGGGAGGATCTTTCCCCAATTCATTGCTTTCTGTCCCCCCCCTCAACATGCCCTCAACATTCCGTGCTTGCTGGTAGGCAATGAGCATGCTCAGTCCTCATCAGGATCCTCAACAATATCTTTTCATTGATGCCATAAACTTATTCTTGTCTGCATATTTGGAGCATCTCCTGAGTATACAGACACCTCTCCCTTGTCTGTGAGTGGCCCAGTTTCCCTACCAAATGAGATGATATCAGGTAACAAGCTGGAGACGCACGAAGATTCACCACGAGCGGGGAGAATACGCAATTTGGAAGTTTCAAATCTGATTTCCCCCTCTCGGATTCTATTAGGGGAATGACCATGTCAGTTCCCTCAATTCCCAACTGCCCTCAACATTCTGTCTCTCTCGCTTGAGACATGGCTGCTCTTCTGGAAATTCAGCTTGCTTGTGCATGCTGCGGCCCTGACCTCCCGCGACCACCAAAAGTACGACTGCACTGAACTCTGGAACCCTGCAGAACATTCCGGATTAGTCCAGTTGCACCTACCTGCTAGGGGGAGCATCTTCTTTGTACCGGCGAACTATGGAATCATTCCCTGGCGGCTCCGGGGTCGTGGACATAATGCTGTGGTTGCGATTTCGAAGCGTTTGCTTTATGCCAAAAGGCAAGTCGAAAGAAATGGAGAAAGACTGTCACTTCCAATCCAGAGGTGCTACATGTCAAGATGACTATATTCCAATACTGACAGAGCATACAGGAAAGACAGATTCATAAAGCATCCCAAGCTAGGCGAGTGTACGCAGCTCGCAGATCAGATTGTCGGGGGCCCGAGTCTGCCCCCATGTCATTTCCCCAGTGGGGCAAATAGCAGCTCCCGTTGCCATTTCAGACTGGGAGAACAGAGTGTGAGAGTGTGAGGTTTAAGCCCACCTCTCTCCACATATGGCGGTCCCAAGCCAACCCGGATCCCCGCGCTCCCAGAAAGTATGGAACTTCCCCAGAACCCATCTGACCAAACTTTGCTATTTGCGAATGAGTTCCCGAGCGGTAAAGACTCCCTGTCTCACAAAAGCTGCACCGGTGCTGCACAGGAACTTGAACAAGACGTGACTTCTATAGCAGGCAGTCTCTCCCCCTACCACCCTCGCTACTGAAAAGAAACATCCCCCCCTCCCCAATTCCTGGGGCCAGCATTTCTTACACTGCTCCAGCAAGGCGTTTCCATTCCCAGCCAGGCCTCTTATTCACACGCCACAAGATCACCCTGAGTCTATCTAGCCGCACCTGCTGTGCCAGCGATCACACTGAATATAATGGGATGTCTACCTCGGGGAGATTATTGGAACATAGCTGGGCAGGGGAGAAATGGATTGGCCGGCATGCACCAGAACCTGCAGCTGCCAGCGTCCTCCTCTCCCTGACCCAACAGTTGCTCATGGCTAAGAAGGGCACGAGAACCTGGCAGGGATCTGAAATGCTCTGCTAGAAGATAATCAATGGCAATGCGGCAGCGCGAGCCTCAGTGCCTTGTCCAATGGTGAGAACGAGGGGCGTTGCGCAAACCCTGCCGAAATATCTCGGAAATAAATGTAACTCAGCAGGAGGGTACTTTCCTTGTTAAAAAAACGTAGAAAGTTAAGAACACTCTAACAGAAAAGACATTACGAGGATTACGTTAAGCTGGGAAAACAATTGGGGTCACCGACACAGACGCGGTGGCCGGGTAAAACTATCTTGTATGAGGGTAGGGGATGCCCTATGGGCTCCTTACGATTTTGCTGACTTCGCAACTGCCTGCTGAGTTAGTGATGGAAATGGGGTTAGAGGAACTGGTATCCGTGTGGCAGCTGCTGGCTTCGCCCCGGTCCTCCTCGTAGCCTCGAACCGCTGGGCTCACGAACAAAAGAAACAGATCAACTCAGATGAGAGACACCCGAGATATTGGCATTACGGTATGCTCGGATAGAAAGTCTTTTGTGCAAACAAGATTTCTAACACATGTGATTATTGCTCTATGTCGGCTGACCTTCCCCGCACACATGCCGGGCATCGTCTTTATTTTTTTCTACTCGATGACCCAAGAAAGACTTTTTCTTATCCCACACTGTCTTCTTTATTAACCGCCCCAAGGCCCTAGGAACGAGCAAGCCGCTTAGGGCATTCTTTCTCAGCACAACCCTTTCATTCAAATCTTCTCTTAAAGTTTCTCTTGTCTGCCCAAAACTATCAAACATGAGCCCATAAACTTTTTTTAAAATGCAGACAAATTCTTCCAATGCATGAAAAAACGCAATCTGGGTAATGAATGTCAGGCCAACCCCCCCCCCCCCAATGATGAGTGAGTTTTCTTTATGCAAGATTTTAGTGGCCTTGAAATAAGGAAAATACTTATTTATTATTTTATTTATTTTTCATATTTGTAGCCCAACCTTCCCGCAAGCGGGCTCTGGGCAGGTAACAACATTCCAGTAATACAATAAAATAGTTAAAAATCTAAAAACACATAATAAACATTAAGACGGAAGACTTCCACTTGCAACATGAAAACGATACCAACTTCCATGAGGACACAGACTGTGGCTCAGTGCTAGAGCACCTGCTTTGCATGCGGAAGGTTCCAGGTTCAATTCCTGGCATCTCTAGTTAAAGGACCAGGTACAGGCCCACAGCCAGGGTTTTGTGGCTTGTGGGGCAAAACTTTCTCTTGGGGGGGGGAAGTTCTCAGTGCAGAAAGAGAAGCCATGTAGCCAATAGAGAGCTGTTACCAGGATCGATCTCTAAATTGCAAGTTGCCCACCACTTTAAGATGACAGTTCTCAGCTGCTGCAAGTTAATCACTCCTGCCAGCCTAAGCAACAACACTGAGAACAAGCTGGCAGGTGGGGGTGATGACTTCTACAGTCAAGAAAGCTAATACATAGGCAGAAACACTCTCTTAAAGGAGACCAGTTTCTTGACACAGAGTTAGAAGGGATCCTAGAGGTCACCTACTCCAACCTCCTTGCTCAGTGTGGGAATTAGTCAACTACAACACCCCCACTCCGCTTAAAATAGAGCACACCTTTAAAAAAATGTTTAAAAATGATTGAAAAAAGCATTTACAGGATAAATTCTTGTGGGGCTGTGTCTTTAAGAAAGGGGGTGGAGCCCCCAAAAGCCCCACCGTAGCTAAGGGCCCAATCAGGTAGCTGGTGATGTGAAAGACCGCTGCCTGAGACCCAGTAGAGATGCTGCCATTCTGAGTTGACAATAGGGCCGCTTCATGTGTTCAAAGCTAGCAGCTCGGGTTCTCCCACCACAGAGACCAACTCTAGGGGAAGAAGCTATGTTCAGAGTCTTGCCAGGATCAGGGCCCTACGAAAGAGACACATGGAGGCACAAAGTTGCCTCCTACTGAATCAGACCCTTGGTCCATCAAGTTCAGTATTGTCTGCTCAGTCTGGAAGCAACTCTCCAGGGTCTCAGGCAGAGAAAGTTCTTTCCCATCACCTCCAACCTGGTCCTTTTAACTGGAGCTGCCAGGGATTGAACCTGGGACCTTCTGCGTGCCAAGCTAAGGCTCCTCCACTGAGCCAGGGTCTCGGGCACAGAGGTCTTTCCCATCACCTCCTACCTGGTCCTTTTAACTGGAGCTGCCAGGGATTGAACCTGGGTCCTTCTGCGTGCCAAGCTAAGGCTCCTCCACTGAGCCAGGGTCTCGGGCACAGAGGTCTTTCCCATCACCTCCTACCTGGTCCTTTTAACTGGAGCTGCCAGGGATTGAACCTGGGTCCTTCTGCGTGCCAAGCTAAGGCTCCTCCACTGAGCCAGGGTCTCGGGCACAGAGGTCTTTCCCATCACCTCCTACCTGGTCCTTTTAACTGGAGCTGCCAGGGATTGAACCTGGGTCCTTCTGCGTGCCAAGCTAAGGCTCCTCCACTGAGCCAGGGTCTCGGGCACAGAGGTCTTTCCCATCACCTCCTACCTGGTCCTTTTAACTGGAGCTGCCAGGGATTGAACCTGGGACCTTCTGCGTGCCAAGCTGAGGCTCCTCCACTGAGCCAGGGTCTCAGCCACAGAGGTCTTTCCCATCACCTGATCCTTTTACCTGGAGATGATGGGGATTGAACCTGGGACCTTCTGCGTGCCAAGCTGAGGCTCCTCCACTGAGCCAGGGTCTTAGGCAGAGAAAGTTCTTTCCCATCACCTCCTACCTGGTCCTTTTAACTGGAGATGATGGGGATTGAACCTGGGACCTTCTGCATGCCAAGCAGAGGCTCTGCCACAGAGCCACACCGCTCCGCACAAGAAAAGGAGGGCGTGGCAACCAGGTACATTACGAGTCAAGGCTGAACTTGGCTGGGACAAGCAGCTCTTGGCAGGTCAACTCTCTTGCTGAACCTGCCAGACTGGGAAACGGGCTGCAACAGCAGATTTTGAGGTTGGGAGAATGACACGGGGGTGGGGGGGGAGGTAAAGTGTTAAATCTTCCTGACCCCGCAGCACCTATCCAAACTGGGGTTCATTTGGTGAAGGACACTCCAATCTCTCTGTAGATCCATTCCAAAACCACATCTCATTTGAGTCAGGGACAGGTGGGGGTGTTCTGAGCTTCCATCTGCCACCAGCCTTCCTCGGAGGCCAGGATGAAGTGAAAAATCACAGAGATAGGGAATTACTGAGCCTTCCGCAGGCACCCGGACCCCAGTGCTTGCATTGGCTACACTGGTGCCGATAAGGATATTCTCAGTCTATTGGTACAGACAGGGCTTTTTTTGGGGGGGGGGGGAAGAGGTGCCGGAACTCTTAAGAGGGAAATGAAGTTTTCAATCCGTATACTGAAAATTTGTGAACTTTTAAACATTTTAAAACAAATTTTGTCAAAGAGGTTCCGGAACGCCGTTGCGGTGCGTCCCCCCAGAAATAAGCCCTGGGTATAGAAAAGATTCTGTAGACCAGTGGTGGCGAACCTATGGCACGGGTGCCAGAGGTGGCACTCAGAGCCCTCTCTGTGGGCATGCGTGCCATCGCCCCAGCCAGGCCCAGACCATCATTAAAGTGTCGAATTCTCTGCCAAATAATTTTAAGTCAATGAAAGCATCTGGGATTGCTTTCCTTACTTTGTTTGGATCATCTTAAGTTAATGTATGAGTTGTTTTTTCTAAAGTAAAACCTCAGTATTCAGGTTAAATTGCCGTGTTGGCACTTTGCGATAAATAAGAAGGAGAAGAAGAAGAAGAGATTGGATTTATATCCTGCCCTTCACCACCCAAAGGTGTCTCAGAGCGGCTTACAAACTCCTTCCCCTCCCCCTCCCCACAACAGACACCCTGTGAGGTAGGTGGGGCTGAGAGAGCTCTGACAGAAACTGCTCTTTTTCAAGAACAGCTCTTATCAGAGCTACAGCTTGCCCAAGGTCATCCAGCCAGGTGCAAGTGGAGGAGTGGGGGAATCAAACCCGGTTCTCCCAGATGAGAGTCAGCGCACTTAACCACTACACCAAACTGGTGAAGAAGAGATTGGATTTATCCCCGGCCCTTCACCACCCAAAGGTGTCTCAGAGCGGCTTACAAACTCCTTCCCCTTCCCCTCCCCACAACAGACACCCTGTGAGGCAGGTGGGGCTGAGAGAGCTCTGACAGAAACGGCTCTTTTTCAAGAACAGCTCTTATCAGAGCTACGGCTTGCCCAAGGTCATCCAGCCAGGTGCAAGTGGAGGAGTGGGGGAATCAAACCCGGTTCTCCCAGATTAGAGTCAGCGTACTTAACCACTACACCAAACTGGGTGGGTTTTGTGGGTTTTGGGTTGCAGTATGGGCACTCAGTCTCTAAAAGGTTCGCCATCACTGCTGTAGACCAATGCTTGTCAATTCCAGGTGATTTTTAAAGTAGTTTTTCTATCGGCGACCCAGATCAAAGAGGAAACGCCCCACGTCTTTTTCTCTCAGGGCTATTTTCGCATTTGTTGTGTTGGAAGCGCTGGCCAGAAGGAGCGAAGCAGCTTCGAGCGAAGAGGTAAGGCCCCTAAATCAAAGTAACAAGGAAGCGGAGTTCCTTCTCTGACCTTGAAAGTCCGATGCCTTGCTCATGCTGACGGGGGATTTCATCCATGGGAGCTGGAGGGGGGGAAAAAGACAGAAAGAAAACTCAACTTTGGATGAGGGTTGATGTCAAGGACGGGCATAACGGCCGATGAATAATTTTGTCCCCTTCTGGGCGTGGAACAGCGGTCACTGGGTGTGTGTGGGGGGGAAGTATTCGTGGATTCCCTGCATTGCGCAGCGGGTTGGACTAGATTACCCTTTTTTTAATGCCCCCTGAGGGGATTTTTTATTATTTTTTTTATAATACCACAAAACTATAACAGAAATAGGGAAGGGGGAACTACATATACAGGATAAAGAAAAGAACCCACTACTACCTAAAAACCCAAGAGAGGAGATCTTCATTTCCGCTGTCTTCTTCAAGTCTTCACTTCGTTTAAGTCTTTACAAACCGAGTCTAACCTTAATACATCTCTTTTTCTATTAATCTTAATTTTTATCTGTCATAGCCAAGTACCCCCTAATAATCCCACTATATATTCCTTAAAGGCACAGGACACCAAAGAAGCCATTATTTTTAAGGGCTATGCCGACCCCCATGGGTCTTCACCCAAAGAGTAATTAACATGTGGGATTCACTGCCACAGGAAGTGGCGGTGGCTACAAGCACAGGCAGCTTCAAGAGGGGACTGGATAAACATATGGAGCAATGGTCCGGCAGTGGCTCGTAGCCACAAGGTATGGATGGAACACTCTGTCTGTGGCAGTGATGCTCTGTCTCCTTGGTGCTTGGGAGGCAACAGTGAGAGGGTTTGTGGAGTTCTGGCCCCACAAGTGGACCTCCTGATGGCCCCTCAGTTTTGGCCACTGTGTGACACAGAGTGTTCGACTGGATGGGCCACTGGCCTGATCCAACATGGTTTTTCTTAAGTTTTTACGTCTGGGGCAGTGATGCTCTGTATCCTTGGTGCTTGGGGGGGCAACAGTGTGGGAGGGTTCTGGAGTTCTGGCCCCACTGGTGGACCTCCTGATGGCATTTGGGTTTTGACTGGATGGGCCATTGGCCTGATCCAACATGGCTTATCTTCTGTTCTTATGTCTGGGGCAGTGATGCTCTGTATTCTTGGTGCTTGGGGGGCAGCAGTGGGAGGACTTCTGGAGTTCTGGCCCCACTGGTGGACATCCTGATGGCACTTGGATTTTGGCCACTGTTTGACACAGAGTGTTGGACTGGATGTGCCATTGGCCTGATCAAACATGGCTTCTCTTATGTCTGGGGCAGTGATGCTCAGTATTTGGTGTGTGTGTGTGTGGGTTTCTGGAATTCTGGTCCCACTGGTGGACCTTCTGATGGCCCCTAGGTTTTGGCCACTGTGTGACCCAGAGTGTTGGACTGGGTGGGCCACTGGCCTGATCCAACATGGCTTCTCTTATGTTCTCAAGTCTGGGGCAGTGATGCTCTGTATTCTTGGTGCTTGGGTGGGGGGGAAACAGTGTGTGTGTGTGTGTTTCTGGAGTTCTGGCCCCACTGGTGGACCTCCTGCATCTGGGTTTTGGCCACCGTGTGACACAGATGTAAACAGCAGAGAACAGAGAAAGGGGCCAGCCAAGATGGAGCCGTTGCTGTCCTCTACCAAAAGCCTGGCGGGAGATCTCTGCCTTGTGGGCCCCGTGGAATTGCATCAGATCCCACGGGGCCCTGGAGGTACTTGGCAGAGAGTTCCACCAGGTTGGGGCCAGGACCGAAAAGGCCCTGCACGAGGACAGCTGGATGTCTTTACGGCCGGGGACCCCCAGCAGATTGCTCTTCTAAGGAGCACAACACTTTCCTGGGGACAGAACAGAGGAGGTATGTCGATCCCTGACTGCTCAAGGCCTCATAGGTTAATAACAAAACCTCGAACTTGACTCGGTATTCCACTGGGAGCCAGTGCGGCTGGCGCAGCAGCAGATGTATATATGATGTTCGCGATGCTCCCGTGACGTCTAAAGCCAAAAGCTTAATGGGAAAAAGGTTGGCCTCAGTGTCCCCTCTAAGCTGAGTGAGTTTGAGCCAGCTCACAGTTCTTTAGCCTCCGGCTCACACATTTTGGTCTTCGCTCAGGAAGGACGGGCTCCAGAGAGCAAACCAACGGATGCAGTAGCCAAATTGCCCGCTCACAACCTGAATGCCAGGAGCTCACAAAGTAGAATTCCTTGCTCACAAGACTCCACAGCTTAAGGGGGAGCACTGGTTGGCATTAAACAGGGGCTTGAAGGTAGCTCAAGTGGCTATGACGCTAAACTGCAGGCTGTGGAAGGTCGGTAGTTCAGCAGTTCGAGACCCGGGTGTGCCGCAAGACGGAGTGAGCTCCCGTCTCTAGTTCCAGCTCCTGCCAACCTAGCAGTTCGAAAGCAAGAAATTGCAAGTAGATAAATAGGTACCACTTTGGTGGGAAGGGAACAGCGTTCCGTGCGCCTTGGTGTTTAATCATGCCGGCCACATGACCACGGAAACGTCTTCGGACAGCGCTGGCTCTTTGGCTTGGAAACGGAGGTGGGCACCGCAACCCTAGAGGCGGATTCGACTGGCTTTCGAGCAAGGGAGACCTTTACCTTTTTGAAGGTAGAAAGAGAGGCCGCCGTGTGTGTCCTGTGGGGAACTTCAAGTAAAATGGGAAGCCCAAGAAGTTGCTGGATAGAAGAAAAATGCCATTGCAGCCACATGCCTGTGTGTGGAATTCCCGCCCCCCGATACCACGCCCCCCCTGCAAAACCATGACCCTCATCCGCCAGCCAATCACCATCACGAAGCGTACCTGGGCTGCCTTCAGGTTCATCCTCCTTTTCAGCCGAGGCTGATCTATGGGGAAGAATTTGCTGTCTTCGGGGGACTCCTCAGAGGTCGAGGAATCATCAGCCAGGTCCTGGCCGTTTAGTTTCGGGAAGGGCACTTCCAGAGTCTGCGAAATTACGGTGAGGGCCAGATTCCTCGGTAAACTCTTGACATTAAAAAAGAGAGGAAACATTTCATGAGCGACAAGCTCGGCACAGTTTCCTAGTGCTTCACCTCCGACAATTCCGACAAAAGCTGTTGGTGGTTTCCAGGGCCCCCACGGCCACCACGCTGGGGACCCCCGCTCTACCTGGTCATAGCCGCTGTCCTTCGAGAGACGTCGGAGCTTGCTTTCTAGGTTAATGATGCACGCCTCTTTCCGAACCAACTCGATCCGCAGCTCATCATTCTTTTCCTCCAGCTCCCGGATCTGCTTCCGATACTTATCTTTCTCAATCAAGCACTGTGAATACTGCGTTTGGGCCTCGTCGCGAGAATGGAACGCCTGCGGAAAGTGACGCAAATCAGGTACGTTGTTTGTGTACAGCTACTGCTCCGATTTCAGTTCATCCCAAATTACATATTTTCCTTGCAATGCTTGGCAAAGAACACTCACGACCCACTTTTATTCACAGTTGGCTACCGTCCTCCTCAAGAAAGATGCCACCATGGAACTGATTGAGTGATACATTAAAATATTTATACCCAGGGCTATTTTTGGGCAGGAACGCACAGGAACGGCGTTCCGGCTGGCTCCCGAGTTGGCCTCACCCAGCAGGAACTCATTAGCATAATAGGCCACACCCAACAGCAGAAACTCATTGGGATTGGCTACATTAGGGGTGTGCGGCCTAACATGCAAAGGAGTTCCTGCTACAAAAAAAGGCCCTGGGTTTTGACAACAAACAAGGCAAACAGAATAAGAATAATAAGAAGAGATTGGATTTATACCCCGCCCTTCACTCGGAGTCTCAGAGCGGCTTACAAACTCCTTTCCCTTCCCCTCCCCACAACAGACACCCTGTGAGGTGGGTGGGGCTGAGAGAACTCTGACACAAACTGCTCTTTCAGGAACAGCTGTGCCAGAGCTTGTGACTGACCCAAGGTCATCCAGCAGGTGCAAGTGGAGGAGTGGGGAATCAAACCCGGTTCTCCCAGATTAGAGTCCGCACACTTAACCACCGCACCAAACTGGCAAAAGGTGGGTGTGGCTGCATGACCACACTTCTGGTAACATGGGGGTGTGGCCTAATATGCTAATGAGCTGTGCTGTCAGGGGTGGGGCCTAATAGGCTAATGAGTTTCTGCTGGGCTTTTTCTACAACCTCCCCCCCCCCGTTTATACCCCATGTTTGTTTGTTACAACAGTTGTATCCTGCCTTTCCTTGTGGCTCAAGGTGGTTTGTTTGAGGTGTCCTGGGATCAAATTACTTGAAAATGAAGAACGGGGATATTGTTACTGTCTTGACTGTTTTTGCAACCGGAGTCATAAACAGCAGACCCTCATCCCACAATAAACCTCGCTCCACAGGAAAACATAGAAGGACCGGGGATATCAGGAAGGACAAAACTGCCCAAGGCAGCAGTAAGAAAACCCTCAAGTAACCAACCAACCCCCCAAACCGGGTGCACAGGTAGGAGCTCGGGGGTCTCCCATCGCAGAGTCCTACTCTAGGGTAGGAAGCGAAGCTCAGACTCCTACCAGGATCAGGGCCCTACTCAGGAGACACATGAAGCTGCCTTCTACAGAATCAGACCATTTATTTATTTATTTATTTACCTTCAACTTCTACCCCGCTCGAACCCCTCCCATGGGTCTCTGAGTGGCTTACATAGTTTGTATTATCCCTATCTATGGGCACATATATATATACCATTGGTCCATGAAGGTCAGCACTGTCTACTCAGACTGGCAGCAGCTCTCCAGGGTCTCAGGCAGGGGTCTTCCACAACCCCCCCTACCTGGTCCTTTTAACTGGAGATGACGGGGACTGAACCTGGGACCTTCTGCATGCCAAGCAGAGGCTCTGCCTCAGAGCCATGCTCCACCCTAGAAGGACAGGAAGGGGAGGGGCAACCAGTCTGAGACTCCTCCGTTCGAGGCTGACCTTGGTCGGGACAACCTGCCCTTGCTAAATCAGCTCAACTAAACCACATCCCCCCCCCCTCCAAATTTTCCAGCCAACGTTTCTATTGGCATCATGTACAAGCCTTTTTGAACATGAGGAATGAGGGCGCCTTCTGAACCTCTGCAGGTAAACCATTCCTTCATTACTAACAATAAAGGGGGTTGCAGTATGATAGAAACCAACACGACAGAACTACTGCAAAATGTACATACTCCAATTTGTATTTATAACATCAATAATAACAATACAATGTTTTCACAGAAGATGAGAACGTCTCAAGAATGATGAAGACGTCTCCCAGATGAGCAGGTGCCCCCGGAGTTAACATTCGTTTCGGGCGTCTTTTTCACACATAAACAACTCAGTCGAGTTGTTACAAATCCTCCAAACTGGACATTTCTTTGTTCCTGTACATCTTGAAGTTATTCACAAAGTGCTCCTTTTCATAAAAATTGGCTGAATTTCATAAAAATGGGCCCATGTTAACTCCGGGGGCACCTGCTCATCTGGGAGACGTCTTCATCATTCTTGAGACATTCTTATCTTCTGTAAACCATTCCTTCATACCAGCCCAATGACAGAAAATTCGTTCTGATAAGGAATGGCTCACTGTGTGAGAGACCACAGTGGGAAGCAGGGGATTGGACGGATGTGAATGGCCACGTTCGGTCTCATGGTAGCGCCACCCTAGTTCCCGCTTCTTTTTACTCATTCCCCCCTTCTCCACCTAACTTTTACGGTAGGAAATAAGTGATGGAGTTTATTGTATATGGCCCTTGGCCTTTACAAGTGAAAAGATATTTACAGCCCGAACATTTAAAAATTTCTGATATAACATCCATCTCTAAAAATCCTCATTCGGACACAGAAATTACATATCATTTCATTTGACTGCTTTCTCAGAAACCGCATTCGTTCTGATTTTCCTAGCGGGTAGAAGAGAAGAAGAGAAGAGATTGGATTTGAGCACTTTATTTGTAATATTGTTGGTGTTTACTGTTTTTATCCTGCTTTTATGTATGGGCATATCTTGCCCTCTTGTAAGCCGCCCTGAGCCCGTTCGTGGGGAGGGCGGGGTATAAATACAAAAATAAATAAATAAATGTATACCCCGCCCTTCAGTACCCGAAGGAGTCTCAGAGCGGCTTACAAACGCCTTTCCTTTCCCCATAACAGACACCCTGTGAGGTAGGTGAGGCTGAAAGAGCTCTAACAGAAACGGCTCTTTTTCAAGGACAGCTGTGCCAGAACTATGACTTGCCCGAGGTCATCCAGCTGGTGCAAGTGGAGGAGTGGGGGAATCAAACCCGGTTCTCCCACATTAGAGTCCGCGCACTTAACCCACGACACCAAACTGGGTAGAGCAAAGAGTGCCATCCTCTAGGAGAGAAGGGAATCCATGTCTGACAGCATAAATACTCATTTGTATTTATATACAAATTATATACAAATTTATATTCAATTGTATATTCCAAATAATTTGGAAAGAGAATATAAAGTCTGTAATGTCTTAGCCAGAAATCTGTTTCTAGGCTCCAAGTATAAAAGGCAAACCAAAACATAGTGAAGAAACTTCCACATATACAAATGCGTTGTGCCTGTGGTATTTTCAAGTATCGTCCAGTAAGTAGTTCCGTTAGCACAGTTTGAAAGTGTAACGATCTGAACACCGTTCTGAGCTTATATGCTGTTATATCCACCAAATAAGAAGCTCTATGATCTTTTGAAATAATTTTATACCACGGAGCGAACGTCAACGGGATGATTAACCAATTGTCAATTAAGGTACCCCCTTTATGCACCCATTCCTGCAGATCAGAATCATTCCCTGAAGGAATTTTTTCCAGATACCTGGTCTCTTTCCTTCTCCACTTCCTCCAGTTGAATCATCACCGTCATCATTCGATGCTTGTACATTTCACAGTCTTTCCCCAGCGTCGAGCATTTTAACTCCAGCTCTTGTTTCTCTTCAAGATACTGCAAACGGGAAGGGGAGAGAGGAATCGATCAATAGACCTAGTGCATCAAAGCGATCGATAAGGTCCAGCCCGCTCTGAAGAAGGGAACCCAGCTATCTATCTTCCCGAGTCAGAAGTTTCGGCCCAGCTCGAGGAAGAGACGAACATTTCAGCTGCTGTGTCGTGCTCTGCTGTGAATTCGTTTGCAAGCAAAATATCACAGCCAGAGGAAGGTTTCTCAGCAATAGTGTAAACTAGGGAGGGATGCCAGCTCTGTGGTACAACTTGGGCAGGGGTTCAACGAGGCACCCAAGAGCCTAAAGGAGATTGACTTTTAATTGCCACTACTCTTCCCATGCTTGCAAGATGGCAGACGGAATGCCTAATCTCAGCTTGCTCAGGGGGCAACTGGAGATTGCTTAGCGGGGGCAGCAGGCCAGACAGGGCGGAACCGTTGCGACCTCTCCAAGTTCTCAGTTCCTAACCCAACAAACGTTCCGTCAGAACATGCTGCACCCAGAGCACCTTAAAGACTAACAAAATTTGTGGCAGGGTAGGAGCTTTTGTGAGTAGGGTTGCCAACCCCCCCCCCCCGGTTTGGCAGGGGTCCCCCGCTTTTTGGGAGCTTCTACCTGTCGGCGGCCAGCTGGTTAAGAACATAAGAGACACCAGTGTTGGATCAGGCCAATGGCCCATCCAGTCCAACACTCTGTCACACAGTGGCCAAAAATACCAGGTGCCATCAGGAGGTCCAGCAGTGGGGCCAGGACATTAGAAGCCCTCCCACTTTTGACACCCCCCAAGCACCAAGAAGACAGAGCATCCCTTGCCCCAAACCGAGAGTTCCTATCTATACCTTGTGGCTAAGAGCCACTGATGGACCTCTGCTCCATATGCTTATCTAATTCCCTTTTGAAGTTGTCCATGCTTGTAGCTGCCACCACCTCCTGTGGCAGTGAATTCCATGTGTTAATCACTCTTTGGGTGAAGAAGTACTTCCTTTTATCCGTTCTAACCCGACCGCTCAGCAGTTTCATGGAGTGCCCATTGAGTTGCCAGGGGAAGCCCCGCCCCCAAGCCCCAACACCCGCCACCCCCCTCCCTTTTCTCTTGAGAGAGAGAAGGGAGAGGGGTGGCTGCGGGCCAGCCACGCGCCCGATCTCCGCTCAGAGAGCGGGCACGCGGAAACGCCGGCTCCCTGCAGTTGCCAATATGGTTGCCTACAGGGGTCATTTCGTAGAAAAAGAGGTGCAGGAGTTCATTAGCACATCTCATTTGCATATGCCACACCCCCTGACGTCACCGGAAGTGTGTCAGAAGGCGACACCCACCGCTCAGGCTCCACTGGACTGTTTTGGATTGCTAGCTATTTTGGGGGGGGGGGGAAACGTGCAGCTCTGTCCTCGCAGAGGAGGGAGAGCTTGTACCTGAATAAAACTTGGTCTTAAAGGTGCCACTGGACTGTTTTGGAACAGGGGGCCGGGGGCCTCTGCTGCTTACCTGGCTGCTTCTTGCCCCGACTGAGGGCTGCTGGGAGCAGGGGGCGGGGCTTGTTGCATGTGCCCGCCCCCTGGGCTCTTTACTGCCGGAGCTCCGCTCCTGTGCGCTCCTGCAGGAAATGACCCCTGGTTGCCTAAAATGAATCTGGCCACCTAAAAATTCTCTGCATCCCTACCTTTAACAGTACACCTCTGGCTACCCAGAGCGAGAGCGACAGGTCTGTCCTACATGGCTTACACCCCTTCGGAGAATGGAGATGCACAAAACACAGGAGATCCAGGAGAATCCATGCAGGGAAAGACGGAAGCTGGTTTGAGTTTCCATTCCAGTGCTTTCTGCCCCTCCGCTTTCCAGCCCACCTTATCTCGCAGGTCTTCCGCATGGCGGATCTCTTCCTGGAGATTGAAGATCTTGTTGACCAAGTCCTGGCGATCCTCCAGCGCTTCTTTGCGGTCGTGCTCCAAGATGTCCAAAATGGCTTTATCCGAATCTGGCAAGCCAGGTTTTCCAGCCTGTGATGCGGAGAAGAGGTTTAAAGGTAGGGGGAGAGAGAGAACACAGGTGAGGAAAGAAGAAACAGGCTGGTTTTGCTAAGATTTTTCGGGATCTTCTGGGAAACCTCGGATTAAATGAAAGCCTTGCCTCTTTCTCAGCATTTCTTATAAGAACAGAAGAGACGCCATGTTGGATCAGGCCGACGGCTCATCCAGTCCACCGCCCTGTGTCCCACAGTGGCCCAAACCCAGGTGCCATCAGGAGATCCACCAGTGGGGCCAGAACTCCAGAAGCCCTCCCACTGTTGTCCCCCCAAACACCAAGAAGACAGAGCATCACTGCCCCAGACATAGGAACATAAGAGAAGCCATGTTGGATCAGGCCAATGGCCCATCCAGTCCAACACTCTGTGCCACACAGTGGCCAAAACCCAGGGGCCATCAGGAGGTCCACCAGTGGGGCCAGAACTCCAGAAGCCCACCCACTGTTGCCCCCCCCCAAGCACCAAGGATACAGATCATCACTGCGCCAGACACAAGAACATAAGAGAAGCCATGTTGGATCAGGCCAAGGGCCCATCCAGTCCAACACTCTGTGCCACACAGGGGCCAAAACCCAGGTACCATCAGGAGGTCCACCATTGGGTCCAGAACTCCAGAAGCCCTCCCACTGTTGCCCCCCCAAACACCAAGAATACAGAGCATCACCGCCCAAACAGAGTATGCCATCTATACATTGTGGCTAATAGCCACTGATGGACCTCTGCTCCTTATGTTTATCCAATCCCCTCTTGAAGCTGTCTATGCTTGTAGCTGCCACCATTTCCTGCAGCAGTGAATTCCATATGTTAATTACTCTTTGGGTGAGGAAATACTTTCTTTTATCTGTTCTCAGCCTACGACTCATTAATTTTGGTGAGTGCCCACAAGTACTCGCATTGTGAGAAAGGGAGAAAAGTACTTCTTTCTCTAGCCGGCTTGAGAGCCAGTTTGGTGTGGTGGTTAGGAGCGTGGACTCTAATCTGGGAGAACCGGGTTTGATTCCCGTTTCCTCCACATGCAGCTGCTGGTGTGACCTTGGGTCAGTCACAAGTTCTCTCAGAGCTGTTCTCCCACGAGCAGTTCTCGAAAGAGCTCTCTCAGCCCCACCTACCTCACAGGCAGTGTTCCTTTTAAGCTGAGTTAGTGTGAGCTAGCTCACAGTTTTTCAGCCTCCGGCTCACACATTTTTGTCTCAGCTCAGGAAGGAGGGCTCCAGAGCAAACTAATGTATGCAGCTGCCAAATCGCTCGCTCACAACTTTAACGCCAGCAGCTCACAAAGTAGAATTTTTGCTCACAAGACCCCGCAGCTTAGAGGGAACATTGCTCACAGGGTGTCTGTTGTGGGGAGGGGGAGGGAAAGGAGATCGTAAGCCGCTCTGAGACTCCTTCAGGTAGTGAAGGGCTGGGTACAAATCCAATATCACTATATCATCATCTACCACCACATCATCGACCTTCTCTGATCCATGCATAATTTTGTAAACCTCTATAATGTCACCTCTCAATCATCGTTTCTCAAAGCTGAAGAGCCCTCACTTCTTTAACCTTTCTTCATGGGGAAGGAGTTTCATCCTTTTGATCATTTTAGTTGCCCATTTCTCAGCCACAAGTACAGCCCAGATTTCAGCCCCCTGATCAGTGTTCCCTCTAAGCTGAGTTAGTGTGAGCCAGCTCACAGTTTTTAAGCCTCCGGCTCACACATTTTCGTCTCGGCTCAGGAAGGATGGGGCTCCAGAGCAAACTGACTTATGCAGTAGCCGAATGGCTCGCTCACCACTTTAATGCCAGCAGCTCACAAAGGAGAATGTTTGCTCACAAGACTCCATAGCTTAGAGGGAGCACTGCCCCATATCCAATCTCTTTCCTCCAGGCCCGGCTTCCAGGCAACTTCTCTGCTTGACAGGTTTCCATCAAACTCATTTAATGTCGAACGGGGCGGCGGGAAACCAGCAGAGACGTTTTCCAGAACGAACAGAAGACATTTCAGGGCATCACACACCGACTAATGGAAAAATCCACATCTGGAGTCCCCCCGTCGTCCCCCCCCCCCCCCCGGCCCCCAGGAACAAAAATTTTCCCGCTCCCCTCTGCCTTGAAGTAATTTGCTGTCCAAAAATAAATCTGAAAAACCTGGGTGCCAAAAAGGTACGAGCGTGCAACGAGAAAAGCTTGCTGGTGGTGGGGGGGGGGGATACCGGTTTTATGAGACCTGCGGTACCCAGACCTACTGATATATCGATTAATGGCACGTTTTCTGGGACTTAATCCCCGCCGAGTTCAATGCTCCCTCTTACCTAACAGCGCAGGGCATTGTAGCTGCAGGCGCGTCTCTTGCCTGGGGACGAACCGACATGTCTGGCTCCAGATTAATGACAGCTCTGTTTCCTGTCGTTTTATTTCCAACTGGTGATCAAGCTCGAGTTAGTCGCTCTGATTAATTGATTAATTCGCCCAGATTATTATTTGCTGCGCGTCTCTCCCTTCCTCGCCACCAAAGACAGCGGCTGGCATCCAGGAATCGGAGACGCCTGCAAAGGCCAGGTCCATCAAGGTTTGAGCAACGTCCTTGGATTGGGCCCCGGACGCCTGCCACAGAAGGGTCGGCGCGTGGCTTGCATTCTTCTTTGCAATGGAATCCTCGAGTGGGAAGGGACCTCCTGGGTCATCTAGTCCAGCCCCCTGCCCAATGCGGGGTATTCACAAATACCTCCCAACCACCAGGGCTACGGTTGAGGAGAACGATGGCTTCGGTCTGAGCCGACTTCATCCCCCCCTGTTCCCCATTCTCTTTCTGGGAGTTACTAGCCCCCCAGGTCCCAGCAGGAGTTCTCCCACTTTGATCCCCTGCCGGCCAATTGGGAAGCCCGCAAGACAGGGATATGGTCACATGATATCCCTGACACTATGACCTCACTTCCAGGGGACATCACTGAGCCAGGGACGTCTTGCGGCGATGCTCTGGTTTGGGGGCAAGCGTCATGGTTTCGAAGCCAAGAAACCACAGAGTTTTGCCCAAAAACCAGAGCGTCGCAGACGATGTCTCCAATGTGATGACGTCACTTCAGGGTGACATCATCAAGTCAGGGACATCACACGCAACGTCCCACCCGCCCCCCAAATTTCCCTACTGCAACAGCAACCCTGTTTCCCCCTGCTGTTCTCCTTCATTCACCTAATTGTATGATATTCGCCGTAGAGAAATCATCTTGTGCTTCCCTTATGATGTGCCATCTTGTTGGTCTTGTTATTATGACTGTAAGAGCTGTTTTGATTGTTTCAGTTGATGAATGCTGTTGATACCTGCTCTGAGCCCTGCTGTACAGGGGAGGTAAAGGTAAAGGTTCCCTTGCTCGAAAGCCAGTCGAGACCGACTTTAGGGTTGCGGTGCTCATCTCCGTTTCAAAGCCGAAGAGCCAGCGCTGTCCGAAGACGTTTCCGTGGTCATGTGGCCGGCATGACTCAACACCGAGGCGCACGGAATGTTGTTCCCTTCCCACCACTAAAGTGGTACCTATTTATTGACTTGCAATTTCTTGCTTTCGAACTGCTAGGTTGGCAGGAGCTGGAACTAGAGACGGGAGCTCACTCCGTCACGCAGCACACTCGGGTCTCGAACTGCCGAACGACCGACCTTCCGCAGCCTGCAGTTCAGCGCCTTAACCGCTTGAGCCACCGCAGCTCCTATACAGGGGAGGGCGGGCTATAAATCTAATAAATAAATAAATAAATAAGCAAGCAAGCTTCTGTGGGCTAAAAATTCTGCGCCAAAGAAATGAGGTTTTGGGTAACCTGTATTTGGCAAGCAAAAGAGACTCCTCTGAATGAGTCTCCTCTTCTTTTAAAAAGATCTGCTCTGCCTTCCCTCCTCTGAGCGACACCAACCAGATCATGCACAATCTGTATCACACGTTGCAGAATATGAACTGAATACTAGCTCTCTTGTGGGTTTTCTATGTCCTCATGCACAATCTGTATCACACGTTGCTGAATATGAACGGAATACTAGCTCTCTTGTGGGTTTTGCTATGTCCTGGCCACTCATGAGAGGCCAATTCACACATTACAAAGTCTGCCCCGGGGACTTGGGAGCAGATGCTCACCTCGAATTCCATGCCTGGAATACAGTTCTCAGGAATGTGGAGGCCTGATTTGGGTCAGGACCATGGCAAACAGGGAAAAGGGACTTCAGCCTTCTCTCCTGTGCTGCTTTCTAGACTTGAAATGGTCCCGGGGAACTACTATTTTCCCCACTGGAGAAAATGTACATGTACTAATTGGCTACATGGATGGGGCCATTTCAGGTTGAGAAAATGGTTGGGGAGGAGGAGGAGGAGGAAGAAGAAGAAGAGGAGGAGGAGGAGGAGGAGATTGGATTTATACCCTGTCCTTCACTTGGAGTCTCAGAGCGGCTTACAAACTCCTTTCCCTTCCTCTCCCCACAAAAGATGCCCTGGGAGGTAGGTGGGGCTGAGAGAGCTCTCTCGAGGACTGCTCTTGAGAGGACAGCTCAGCAAGAATTGTGGCCGACCCAAGGTTACCCAGCAGCTGCATGTGGAGGGGTGGGGAATCAAACCTGGTTTCCCCAAATCAAAGTCCGTGCACTTAACCACTACACCAAACCGGCTTCTCCCTTCTTCCCACATGCCAAGGACCCGATCCAATACCCATCAAGTTCCACGCACGGAATCCCAGCAATGCACTGCTTGTCAGAATGGCACGTTTCAGCTACAAGGCCTTTGTAAAGTGTAGATCCCCCCTCCCCCCCGAGACAAGCCTGGAAACTCTCACTGTTCACCTTGTATGACTGGTCTAAGGACTATAGAAATAAATTGATTAATACCAGGTAGGTTTTCAACAATCCAACAGGTATATCTGTAATATTATTTATCCAACAGGTAAATCTACAATGGATAACGAAGACTCCGGATTTCAGAACTTTGTTTTGAATAGTACCAGCAACATAAGACTTTGGAGATTTCCCCCTATGGATATTGAATATTGACTGGCTGCCCTATTGATATTTTTGCATTACAAATTGGAAAGCTGTTTTGCTGATGTTTACCTTGGAAACATTTGTCCTTAAAGAGTTCTTTAATCAGCCTCTACTGATGACGACTATTCCATCTTTTCTGGAGCAAGCTTAAGATTGGCATCTTTCACACTGCACCCACATTTTGAATTGTCCCTGCTGTTATTGTGGACTCAACTAAACACTGTTCACCTGAATGATGGACTGCAGCTCCTGGATCTTCGTCTTCAGCATCTCGTTCTCCCGCTCCAGCTCCAGGACCTGCTCCTTCTTCGGCCGGTTCTCGATGTCGTTCTTGAGCTTCAGAGACTGGTTCCTCTCCAGCTTGCATTCCTCTTCCACTTTATTCAACCGGTGTTTCAGCTGGTCAATCTAGCGAGCCCCATTTATCACGCGGAGAAAAAGAGAGGAAGAAGGGAAGATCGATAGGAACACAGCAAACATCTAGTAAACACGGTTCCCCGGAATGAATTCCCACCACACTTAACCGTGAGTGTGGAAACAACTCGTATTTCACGTCCTTCGGGGTGGTCCCCTCAGATCTCCACGTCCCAAACGGCACCATGCCCCCGTTAAGGCAGTACGAAAGAATCTCTGGTTAAATTTTCACAAGAATGACTGCCCAAACAAAAGCAGTTACACCTTTAAGTAATGAATCCGCTAACCCGGGGGTCCCCAACCTTTCTGAGTCTCTGGGCACCTCTCGAATCCTGACATACATGTTCAACGCAGCCACAAATGGCTGCTGCAGGAGGTGGAGCCAGCCACGAAATGTATTTACTCATTTATTTATTTCTTGGGCTTATAAGAACATAAGAGAAGCCAAATGTTGGCTCAGGCCAGTGGCCCATCTCGTCCGACACTCTGTCACGCCGTGGCCAAAAATACCAGGTGCCATCAGGAGGTCCAGCAGTGGGGCCGGGACACTAGAAACCCTCCCACTGTTGCTGCCCCCCCCAAGCACCAAGAATACAGAGCATCACGTGCCCCAGCCTGAGAGTTCCTATCTATAAAAAGGTAAAGGTTTCCCTTGCTCGAAAGCCAGTCGAATCCGACTCTAGGGAATGCGGTGCTCATCTCAGTTTCAAAGCCGAAGAGCCAGCGCTGTCCGAAGACATTTCCATGGTCATGTGGCCAGCATGACTAAACACCAAGAGTGCACAGAACGCTGTTACCTTCCCACTGAAGTGGTACCTATTTATCTACTTGCAATTTCTTGCTTTCGAACTGCTAGGTTCCCTTGCTCAAAAGCCAGTCAAATCCGACTCTAGGGTTGCGGTGCTCATCTCCGTTTCAAAGCCGAAGAGCCAGCGCTGTCTGAAGACATTTCCGTGGTCATGTGGCCAGCATGACTAAACACCAAGGCACATGGAATGCTGTTCCCTTCCCACTGAAGTGGTACCTGTTTATCTACTTGCAATTTCTTGCTTTCGAACTGCTAGGTTGGCAGGAGCTGGAACTAGAGACGGGAGCTCACTCCGTCATGCGGCACACTCGGGTCTCGAACTGATGAACTACCGGCCTTCCACAGCCTGCAGTTCAGCGTCTTCACCACTTGAGCCACTGATGGACCTCTGCTCCATATGCTTATCTAATTCCCTCTTGAAGCGGTCCATGCTTGTAGCCACCGTCACCTCCAGTGACTTCTAACCCACCCTCCCCGTGAACGGGCTCAGGGCGGGTCACGACAGGAAAACCAATATAAAATTCAACCGATGGCGATCCTTCAGTTATATATATATCCTGGCTCTGCTTTGGTTTGAAAGATACAGATCAGAGACCAGGGTCTCATGCTATAAAAATACATCAGCTTAGCTAGGCAGTAGGCGCAGGAGAGGCCAAAATGTTGTGGGACATCTGCTGCCTCAACGACAAATCTGGCGGAAGAACTCTGTCTTGCAGGCCCTGCGGAACTGTAAGAGATCCTGCGGGACCCTGACCTCGAATGGGAGCGCATTGCATAAATTCATGCAGAACAGTTTCTTTTGCTTCACAGGGCTCTTTTTGTAGCAGGGACTCCTTCGCCATTTAGGCGACACACCCCTAATGTAGCCAACCCTCGAAGAGCTTACAGAGCTCTTCCTACAGGGGCTACTGTAAGCTCTTGGAGGATTGGCTACATTAGGGGTGTGTCGCCTAATAGGCGAAGGAGTTCCTGCTACAAAAAGATCCCTGCAGGTTGGTCTGCCAAGCACAAGGCTCTTCGGGGTACATAAGGGGAGAGGCAGCCCCGCAGGTATGTTGGTCCCTGGCCGCTCAGTGCCTTAAAGGTTAGTACCAACACCTTGAAACGAATCTGGAACTCTATCCACAGCCAGTGCAATTCATGGAGCGCCAGCCAGATGCGTGCCTGCGGAGACGTCACAGTCAGCAGGCAGGCCACAGTTTGCCTCCGGTCACACCGTGAAGATCCTTGTGTTGTGGTGGCAGCTGCTGCCAAAGCAACGTATTTAAAAGTCTACAGAGCCAATCAGAAGCCCAGCCTGGACCCGCCCCACTTTCTAAAAACACCTCGCAGGTGCCAAGAAAAAGGTGTCGGTGCGTATTGGGGACCCCTGAGCTAATCCAAAACATCTCCGAGAGAGAATGAAGTCACCCTTGGTCAGTTTCATTCATTACAAACAAGCAGAGACGGGTTGTACGTTAATGGCCATGAGACTCATGGTTTATATCTGAGGACGTTGTCTGAACGGAGTGTTTTGGAACTGGTTACATGGATGCTCTACATTTACACAGGATTTAGATCACTGGAACGGTCAGGGCTTCCCCCCCCCCAAAAAGATTCTGCAAATCACAGCTCGGGGAAAATAAAAATAGGAGTCCGGTGGCACCTCAAAGAACAGCAAAATTTATTCCAGCATAAGCTTTCATGTGTCAAAGCTCATTTCATCTGATGCACTGGAGTGTAAAACCATTAGATCAATGCCTTTTTATATTCACAACAGTAAGGGGGGGGTGTTACAAAGAGAGGCGAGTTTAAAACAAGATCTAACAGAAAAAAGTGATCGGTATACAGGGGGTGCTGGCCATCCCCAACTGTTGTTGGAAAGGTACAGTGAGATTTTAAAAGTCTGGAGCAAGATAAGTAAACACAAAAGGAATTACAGAGGGATATGTGAGATATTGGCACCTATAGCAAATAAAGAATTCCAGGTCTCTGTTAAGGCTGTGAGGGTGGGAATGATAAATATTTGAACTTGTTAATGAGTTCTAATTTAGCAGTTTCCTGTTGGATTCTCCCTTTGAAGTTTCCTTGTCTGAGAACAGTAATACCAGGGGAGGTTACTGAGAATTCTGCCAGAGATTCCTGTTCTCATTTCATTCAACCACACTGCTTTGAGTTCCTCACTGAGGGAACGACTGCTGGATTGGTTTAGCTCCACCCCACAAAAAACAACAAATGAACCCATCTGTCATTTGCTTCGCAGTCGCATTCAGGGTCAAAGAAGGCCAACATTCATGGTGGCCACAGACTTCACATTCCTTTCCCACAGTGCATCTCTCACCTCTAGCTGAAGGTCTCGGCTTCTCATCACCGCCATGTTCTTTTCTTCGCTCAGCTGGGCGTACCTCATCGCCAGGTTGTAGTTCTCGTCCTTCACTTTGACCAGCTCGTCGTTGTAGTTGTTCCGCTCTTCTTTCATCTTGTTGTACCTCTCCTGGAAGGTCAGTAGCTCTATCTTGTTGAGTTTCATCTGCTTCGTCTCATCCTCCATCTGACGGGATTTGGCCAAGAGTTCGCACCGCTGGGCATCCTTGGTCTTGATCTGCTGCTGCAGCTTAATGATCTCATTCATCAAGAAGTGGGTGAGCCCTTCATGGCCTTCCTCTACTAAAATGAACAGACAACGGTTGGCATTTTACCACTCCTTTCTGCTACGTATTGAGCCTTCAGGTGACGGCACCTTCTGCTGGCGGAAGGCTAAGCAGGGTGGTAAAATACAAAGAAGTTGCCAAGCTACACAGTCCGTCTCCCTGAATCAGAGCAAGAGAGGACAAAACTAGATGCCCAACAAGTCTTGAGCGTAGGGCTGCCAGCTCGGTAGGGTTGGGAAATACCTGGAGATTTTGGGGGTGGAGCCTGGAGAGGGTGGAATTTGGAGAGGGGAGGGGCTTCAGCATCCTTCAAAGCAGCCATTTTCTCCAGGGGCTCTGACCTGAGCAGGAGATTTCAGGGCCCTATCTGGAGATTACAACCAATGCTCCCTCTAAGCTATGGAGTCTTGTGAGCAAAAATTCTACGTTTTGAGCTACTGGCATTAAAGTTGTGAGCTAGCGATTTGGCTATTGCATAAATTAGTTTCTTCGGGAGCCATCCTTCCTGAGCTAAGACAAAAATGTGTGAGCCGGAGGCTAAAAACCTGTGAGCTAGCTCACACTAACTCAGCTTAGAGGGAACACTGGTTACAACCACAAAGAGACCCACACCTATGATCGCTCACTATAAAGGACCCAATCCGAGTGCTGTACAAAACGTGAATTATTATATCTTTCTCCATAGTTTTCTTCACACAAAAACATTACGAGGAGACAGTCTCCAAAAATGGAACACGAAGGCAACGTAGGTTTAAAGACCCTACATATACAGTCCAATCTCTTGTGCCTAGGCGCACGATTCCAAAGTAAAGTCCAACAGTTTAACTCCCACGTTGCCTGATAGAAGACACCAACGCTCCCTCTAGGCTGTGGAGTCTTGTGAGCAAAAATTCTACTTTGTGAGCTCCTGGCATTAAAGTTGTGAGCGAGCAACTGGGCTGCTGCATCAATTAGTTTGCTCTCTGGAGCCCTCCTTCCCAAGCAAAGACAACAACGGGTGAGGCCAGAGGCTAAAAAACTGTGAGCTAGCTCACACTAACTCAGCTTATAGGGAACACTGGAAAGCACCGCTGTATAATTAACATTCTGTTTTTAGAAGGCACAGACGTATACTTCATGTTCTGTTCTGATTCCCAGGCCTCATCTGGAGGTTTCCAGATTTCCAGGCCTCGTCTGGAGATTGGCAACCCTTCTCAAGACTGGAATGCCGGGAGAAGACTCCAAAATGCATAAACCAGCCTGGTCAACTAAAGGTTCACCTGATTGTTCTGGGTCCACCAGGGCTATTTTTGGGCAGGAACGCACAGGAACGGAGTTCCGGCTGGCTCCCACGTTGGCCACGCCCAGCAGGAGCTCATTAGCATAATAGGCCACACCCAACGGCAGAAACTCATTAGGATTGGCTACATTAAGGGTGTGTGGCCTAACATGCAAAGGAGTTCCTGCTACAAAAAAAAGCCCTGTGTTTTGACAATAAACAAAGTAAGTAGAATAAGAAGCAAAAGGTGGGTGTGGCTGGATGACCACACTTCTGGTAACATGGGGGTGTGGCCTAATATGCTAATGAGTTTCTGCTGTTGGGTGTGGCCTATTATGCTAATGAGTTCCTGCTGGGCTTTTTCTACAAAAAGAGCCCGGGGGGCCACCAAGTAACCCGAATGCTAGTTCTTGTCCAATACAACAGAACTTTTACATCAGATGGAAGCCCACCAGGATGAGGACAACAATATGTTAGGCACCTGTGGTTTCCACTCATTCTGTTCCCTTTCTCCCTAAGGTTTGCTCCTTCCAGAGCAAGCGCCTGGAAAACCCTATGAGAACACTGCGATCTATGTTTCCCTCATAGCCATCAACGGTGCAGGTCCAGCTTACCAACGATGGTGGAAAACCGTCGCGTCGGCTCCTTCCCAGTCACCAGTTTGTAGAGGTCTGGGTAGGAGAATTCCAGGCTCTCTAAGAAAACAACATAGCCCCTTTCTCCTTTTGTATGAAGGATGTCCAGCAGCCGGCCTAGAGAGAACCCAAACACGTGCACCTTTTTAAAAAAAGGATTTTAAACTGTTTATTGAAGACTGGAATAAAACACAATGGAGCGCTTGGTAAAGATGAGTGAAAACAATTGCAAAAATGGCCATTAAGTTTATGGTGAATCAAGGACTGCCCTTACAAGTTATCTGCTAATTCTGAGGTTATCTCATTCAATTAATTAAAAAGATTTAAAAAAATAAATGAATGGAGTTCAAGCCAGTTTTAAAGATCCTTCAACTACTTAGTAACATCTTTTTTTTCATTATAATTTTAATTTTAATATTTATGATAGAGATACAGAATAAAAGGAGGGGGTAAAGGGGAAAATGGAAAAAGGAAGCAAAAACGTCAATTTTTTAACACATATTTAAGGACTAATCACTAATACAAAAATATAAAACATGAAAAATCATACCAAATCGTTACAAACGAAGTAAGCAGCCTATACGACTATTTCCATATACCGTATTTTCATTATTTCCTATCTATAAGGCTGTGACAAAACACAGATGGGCAAGAATTTTTTTATTCTTTATATATGGTTTAAAAGTAACAGTATTCACAGTTTATAATAATGAAGAGAAGAAGAAAAGAGATTGGATTTATACCCTGCCCTTCCCTTGGAGTCTCAGAGCGGCTTACAAACTCCTTTCCCTTCCCTTCCCCACAACAGACACCCTGTGAGGTAGGTGGAGCTGAGAGAGCTCTTTCCAGAACTGCCCTTGAGAGACCAGCTCTGACCGAACTATGGCCTGCCCAAGGTCACCCAGCAGCTGCAAGTGGAGGAGCGGGGAATCAAACCCGGTTCTCCCAGGTTAAGCGTCCACGCACTTAACCACTGCACCAAACCATATAAAACCTGTGTTCATCTAATAACTAATTCGATGTATAACTGAAAGGAATTGATTACAATAATTATCAATCAAACGTGTAACATCTTAAGAAGGTGACCAAAGACTCTTGAAAACACAGAAACAAGTGGTGCCGTTCCAGAGTCAGCCTCCCTCTTGGTTTAACGCTGTCACAGATGCTATCTCTCATGCAAGGTTCCATCAAGAAAAAAACTACTCCGTCACAATGCCTGGGTCCCCACGGCGGAAACCAGCTATGAAAGGCCAGCCAGTCGTACCTGCTCGGTTAATTTTGGAGAGCAGCATAGGCGAGTTCAGCACCTCATCTTCATCCTGTTCATCGATAACCTTACACTGACGCAGGTACGGGGTCAGCTTGGCCGGGTTGATGTACCGGGTCAACATGTGCCGATTGCATTCCACGTTCTCCCACAGGGCATCTTCTTCGTCCATCAGGGTCTCTGTGTAGTCCTCCATCTCTAGCTTTCCTCCCTAGAAGACACAGAAGACTGGAGGTGAGGAAGGGCTGGGAAGAAAATCAATAAATCAACGGTTTGGGACCCTATCTATGGAGGAATTATCAGGCTGTGCCTATGAAGTCCCTGGGATCCATTAGAAGCTCAGCAGCATATTTGAGCCCGAATACTTATTGAGATCAGCGTCCTATCTAAATGTATTATCTTTCCTGATTTTTTGTAAGGCACTTTATGTAAGGCACTTTATGAGCAAGACAGCTTTGGTACTACTATAATTTTTCGTGAGGAAGATCCAGTTTTGAAACGCTGTTACGTAATCCAGAGACAACGTTGAGGATGTATTTTTACACTCGGATTTTCTTATGATTTGAAGGAATTTGTTTATTGTGTCGTAGTGCTTGTTGACCATAATATGCAGAAAGCATTTTCTTTGCAAGTCTTGCTGACAGCTTGATTCGTGGGTCAGACTCTCACGACTGTTTTCTTTCCACTTGGTTTGCCAGGATAAGTTACAACCACCGACTATGTCAGGGGAACAGATTTAGAGTCCAGCGGCACCTTTAAGACCAACAAAGTTTTATTCAAGGTGTGAACTGTCGTGTGCAGGCACACTTTTTCAAAGACATCGGAATAGTTAGGCAGAGGTCATTTCGGGGGGGGGGAACGCGGGGGAACGCAGTTCCCCCGGGTGAGGTGCAGGGGGCGGGGCACATGACGAAGCCCCGCCCCCTGCTTCCGGCCGCCCCGCTTCCAGCCCTCATTCAGCCAGGAGGAGGCAGGAGAAGAGGGAGGGTAAGTTGCTTCCTCCCCGCCTCTCCCCACCCCTGCCTGCCTGGGGCCAGGGAGGGCCTTGGCGGGGCTTCCTTGCACTCCCGCTGGCCTTGCAGGTCCACCGCCGGGCCCCTGATGTCAGGGGTGTGGCATATGCTAATGAGTTATGCTAATGAGTTCCCCTAGCTCTTTTTCTACGAAATGACCCCTGTAGTTAGGTAAGGTTCAAACTTACAGACAGAGGCTGAACAGCAAATTAACATGCAACCAACGCTCCCTCTAAGCTGTGCAGCCTTGTGAGTGAAAATTCTCCTTTGTGAGCTCCTGGCATTAAAGTTGTGAGCGAGCAATTTGGCTGCTGCATAAATTAGTTTGCTCTGGAGCCCTCCTTCCTGTGCTAAGGTAAAAATGGGTGAGCCGGAGGCTAAAGAACTGTGAGCCATTTGTCATTAGGAGTGTATGAGCCCATTGGGGAGAAAGAAGAATGTTTAAACAGTGTGGTTCCATAAGAATTTGGCTCTGAAGAAGAAACACAGTCGAGAGACTCGCGGCCAACAAGAGAAGTCAGCCAGCCTGTTACAGCTCCCTTGCAGACCCGTAAGTTGGCAACTGAGAAAAAAATAAGAAGACCACAGTGTATCTATGGACTGTGTATAGCCTAGTCGTTGGTCTGACTGGGAAGGTTTTTTATGTATTTTTGTAAGCCTTAGTGTTAAATGTCACAAGCTAACTGGAACGTTTATTTCATGTATTGTTTTTGATTTATGCATTGTGTTAAACATAAAGGTAAAGGTAAAGGTTCCCTTGCTCGAAAGCCAGTCGAATCCGACTCTAGGGTTAAACCTTGAGCGGTAGCAGACCTTGAACATAGTCATTGAACGGGATATTTTGTGGCTGTTTCACACAGTCTCCAGGTGAGCCCTGGGGATATCCTGGAATTACAACTCATCTCCAGGCAACAGAGATCAGCTCTGGATGCTTTCGGAGCAGAGGTGTCGAACTCGTTCATTACGAGGGCCGGATCTGACATAAATGACACTTTGTCAGGACAGGCCCTGTGTGCCATAAAGGGTAATGCCCGGGACCGGAGATATAAACTTCATAAAGGACACAAGCAAACCCAATTAACGATATTTTCTAAAGCTCAAAATACAAACAAAAGCTATTGATTTCCTAGCAGTGAAAGCAACTGATTTACTGGGGAGCCCGCAAAAGCCCCAATAAATGTATTGAATCACATGCAAGACTAGGATTTTTCCCAAGGAATACCATAAAAGGGGGAGCACCTTACATTTCCATGCATACCAGTTGCTTGCAGACCAGGGAGGAGGAGGAGGAGGAGGAGGAGGAGATTGGATTCATACCCCGCCCTTCACTACCCAAGGGAGTCTCAGAGCGGCTTACAAACTCCTTTCCCTTCCCTTCCCCACTACAGACACCCTGTGAGGCAGGTGGGGCTGAGAGAGCTCTGGACAGAAACGGCTCTTTTTTCAAGAACAGCTCTTATCAGAACTACGGCTTGCCCAAGGTCATCCAGCCAGGTGCGAGTGGAGGAGTGGGGGAATCAAACCCGGCTCTCCCAGATTGGAGTCTGCGCACTTAACCCACTACACCAAACTGTGGTGAAGAAGAAGAAGAGGAGGAGGAGGAGGAGGTGATCGAGGTATTGAAGGTGCACGTAACCAAACTGGCCTTATGCACGACACCCCTGCTTTGGAGGGTGGACACTACGGCATTGTGCCCCACTGATATCCCTCCCGACAATCCACCCCCAAATCTCCCGGAGTTTTCCAGTCTGGAGCTGCCCACCCTATCACCACCACCCCCGGGGGTATCTGGCAAATTTATCTTCTGGAATTACAACTGATCTCCAGACTAAAGAGACCTGTTCGCCTGGGGAACAGGGCTTTTTTGGAGGGTGGGCTCTATTGCATTTATACCCCGCGGGGCTCACCCCCCCCCTCCACAGACCCTGCCTTCCCCAGGTTGTTGTTGTCGTCCAGTCGCACAGTCGAGTCTGACTCTCCACAACCCCACGGACCACATCACGCCAGGTCCTCCTGTCTTCCGGCATCCTCCGGAGTCTGCTCAATTTCATGTTCGTCGCCTCGATGACACCGTCTAACCCTCTCATCCTTTGTCGCCCCCTTCTTCTTCGACCTTCCGTCTTTCCCAGCATCAGGGTCTTCTCCAGGTGCCACCCCCCAAATTGCCAGGAATTTTCCAGCTCTGATTCAGCAACTCCGTTTCCCAGGCTTCGGCCTTTATACCGAACATCCCGCCAGCTCATTAACTGCAATTTTCTCTCTGCAAGCCATTGAATTCGTTTCCCGAATGTTTGCAGGGGGGGGGGGAGGGACAGAGAAACTTTGCAGAGCTCAGCAAACATAAGGCCGTATCAGAGCGTTTCGCTTCCTCCAGATTTATCTCGGCTTTGCAAACAATTATGGCTCTGGCTCTTCCTTTTTTCTTTTTTTAAAAAATACGTTTGTAGGACTCTCACGTGTATGCAAATTGGAATGGATATCAAACGACACCCGGAGCCCTGCAACTCGGCACGCTGCATTCGTCTTTGCGAGGAGACTGGAGGGACATCAAAACCAGGGCTCTTATTGTGCCCAGAGATCAGTTCTCCTGGAGAAAATGGCTACCTTGGAAGGTGGCCTCTATATAGCATTATACCCAACTGAAGCCCCTCCCCTTCCCAAACCCCGCCCCCTCAGACTCTACCCCCCAAAAAAATCTCCAGGTATTTACCAACCCAGACCTGGCAGCCTTATCCATGGAAGATTTCTGGTTGACCTCGGGCCAGTCCTGCATTCTCATCTCAGCCTACCTCACAGGGTGGTTGTGAGAATAATATGGAGAGAGGAGCACAATGCTTCGGGTGCCCACCAGGGAGAGAGCCCTAAAATATTCCCAGTTACACAATAAGGCTCTGGAGCCATTGCAAGAACGGGCAACTGCCCATCTGGAACCATCTCAAATGAGACAGATCAATCCACAGGGCAGGTGACAATAAGCTGAGAAAACCCAGTCGGAAGAGAGAAAACAGAGATGCTTCCCAAGAACAGAATCTATGCAGTGCTTTTCAGCGATCAGAGCAATTCTTAACAGTGTCTTGCTGTACGTAAGAAGAGCCCTGAAGGAACAGAACTGTGGTCCGTCAAGTCCAGAATCCTGTTTCACACGCCGGCCAACCAGTTGCCCTGGAAGGCCAATAAAAAAGGTATACAGGCCAAGGTCTTCTCTTCATGCTGTGTCCTAGCAGAGTTTTCCTGCCTAATTTTTTTTTAAAAGACGTGTGCTCCTTTAAGCAGATTGGGGTGCTGTAGCTGACTAATTCCCACACTGAGCAAAGGGGTTGGAGTAGGTGACCTCTAAGATCCCTTCGAACTCTGGGTCAAGAAACTGGTCTCCATTGAGTTTTTCTGCCCAAGTGTTAGCTTTCTTGACTACAGCAGTCATCACCCCCACCTGCCGGCTTGTTCTCAGACATGTTGCTTGGGCTGGCAGAAGTGATTAACTTGCAGCAGCTGGGAACTGTCATCTAAAGTGGTTGACGGCTTGCAATTTAGAGATCGATCCTGGTCACAGCTTTCTGTTGGCTACATGGCTTTTCTTTCTGCGCTGAGAATTTCAGCCCCATCAGAAAAAAAATCTGCCCCACAAGCCACAATATCCTGGCTACGGGCCTGGGTGAGGCTGTGGTTCCGCAGCAGTACGTCTGCTCGTTATGCAGGACGTCCCGAGTTCAATCCCCAGCATTTCCAGTTAAAATGATCAGGTGGTAGGCGATGTGAAAGAACCTGACCCAAGACCCTGCAGCGACATGGCCAGCCAAGGTAGACAAAACCAAGGGTATGAAAAACTATGCCTTTTCATGTGGTTTAAATGACCACGGAAACGTCTTCGGACCACGCTGGCTCTTCGGCTTTGAAACGGAGATGAGCACCGCAACCCTAGAGTCGGATTCGACTGGCTTTCGAGCAAGGGGAACCTTTACCTTTACTAAACATCCTCTTGCGGTGAGTCCTTAGCTCAGTGACAGAACATCTGCTTTGTACATGAAAGGTCGCATTCCGGCTGCCTGACCCCTGACGCCTAACTCATCTTTAGATCATGTTGTCCTTCTGTTCCTCCACACCTGGCAGAACGACTGCCTGGATTTGTTTGGGCTAGCCCGCTCCTGTCAGACCTCGGAAGCTAAGCAGGGTTGGCCCTGGCTAA